CCCTCCAACCTTCCTATCCCTCTAGTTCAGCACCTTCTTTGTCCGTCTGTTCTAAAAACAAAAAGGCAAATTAAAATAAAAAAAAACAGAATTTTTTAAAAGGAAAAAAGTGAAAAAAGCACAAGAAACACACACGTACAAAAAAAAAAAAAGAAAAAAGAACAAAACATAAAACACAAAATCAGAAACCATAACATACAAGCAAAAGACCAGTAAGATTTTTTTAAATGCTCAAACAAACAAACAAAATTACACAAAAAAGACCCACAAACACATCATTGAGTTCATTTTGTGTTAACCATTCGCCTGGGCATGTAGCCTACCCTTACATACTCAGTGACATTCCACTGGAGAAAATAAATTTGTCCTTTGCAAAGGGGTGTCAATTGTGGATAGCTTCTTGGGTAGGGGTGGAAATGGTGTCTACTTCCCCCTACCGACACTTGAACCTGTGCAGGCCCTGTGCAAGCTGCCACAGTCTCTCTGAGTTCATAGGGCAGCAGCCCTGCTGTGTCTGGAAGACACTGTTTCCTTGCTGTCCTCCATCACCTCTGGCTCTTACAATCTCTTCACTTCCTCTTTCTCATATCTCCCTGAACACTGAGAAGATGGGGTCTTACAAAGGTCTCATTTAGGACTGAGTGTTCCTAAATCTCTCTGCTCTCTGCCCATTATCCAGTAGCAGGTCTCTGTATTAGTTTCTATTTACCGAAAGAGAAACCTTCCCTGGTGATGACTGTGCAAGATAGGGATAAATATAGCAACATATCATTAGGAGTCATTTTATTGTTGTGTGCCTTTAGCAGAACAATGGTATACTGTTTTCCCCTAGGCACGTGACCTATATAGTCTCAGGTCCTTGGTCACCCAATCAGCATGGGGCATGGTGCCATGGGCTTTACATCCAACCCGAGCGGTTGGTCGCTCTCATAGTGCTTTTGTCCTTATTGTATCAGAATAGCTCGCACTCACGTCGTCATTGTAGATCGCAGGGTTTGTAACTGGATTGCTTTTTGCCTCTTTCCTCTGACACCATGAAGAAAACCTTCTAGTACCCTGAACGCTAGTCAGTAGGGATAAAGTCTCTAGTTAGACACCATCTAAACTTCTCCATGTTCAATGAGATATGAAAGTGTTGTCTTCAGCAATAGAGCCATACCAATAGCCTTTGGTAAGATATTGGTAAGGCTATTGGTAGTTTGTGGAGAGCCACCAATGGCCTTGGCCTGAGTTGTTTAGGGGTATTTGTGGGGCCCCTTTGGCCAACAACTCAATTGCATCTAATTCATTCCTGTCACTTGAAGTTTCACTTGGTGGCAAAAGACTTCTAGTTGGGACATTGCCTTCTCTGTTACTTGGTGACCGCATTTAGATTTATTTTATCTATGTATATAGTTTAAGAAAGTTATATATTAATACGTTTCTGAATTACCCATCAAATGGATCTTAATGTTGTTGCTCTCCAAATTCCCTCCCTTATTTCTTCTTTTCTCCTCCTCCTTATTTCTCCTCCTGCTCCAGTCTCCACTGTCTCTCCATAACTATATATTCTATTTCCTCTTTCTTGGGAAATCCTCCCCTCCCCCCAAGTTTCCTACTAGTTACCTATCCTCTGTGATTACATGGATTGTGGGATGCCTACTGAAGGCTTAAAAGCCAGCATCCACTTATAAGAGAGTACATACCACATTTGTCTTTGGGGGTCTGGGTTTCCTCAGTCTGGTTGAACTTTTCTAACTTTATCCATTTACCTGTGAAATTTGTGGTTTTATTTTTTAAAAGCTGAGTAATAATTCCATTGCGTAAATGTACAACATTTTTTTATCCTCTCATCAGTTGGTGGACATCTAGGCCATTTCCAATTTCTGGATAAGCCAGTGTCTCTGTACTAGGATATAGGGTCCTTTTGGTATACGCCCAAGATTGGTATATATAGATCTCGAGCTGAATCTTTTCCTAGCTTTTGAGGAATTGCGGCTGTGCAACTTTGTGCTCCTATCCACATGCCCCCCTTTCCCTACACCCTCACCAACATGAGCTGTCTTATGGGGGCATTTTCTCAGCTGAGAGACTCTCTTTCCATATGACTCTACCCTGCAACAAGGTGACAGAAAACTAGCCAGGACAATTGATCCCAGCCAGTTTCATAAATAAACACTTCACTATTAAACCATAACTTGCCCTTACTTCATCATCCCTATTATCTCATTATTCATATTACAAAATAAAACTTGAAAAAACTCACAGTCTTTAAAACATTCAAACACTTAAATTTAGGTCTCTTCAAGATACCCAAAGTCTTTCTAAAATTCCGAAGTCTCTTAATTGTAAAGTCAAAAATAAGCTTAATACTTTCTTATTCCAAAAGGAATAAATCAGGACCCAGTCACAATCAGGTCAAAGCAAAACCAAAATCCAACCGTAAATCTCAATGTCAGACTTCCGAGACTCACACGTTTCTAAGCTCTAAAGGACTCTGAAGGATAGCTCTTGTTATCCATGGTCATCATCCTATGGTCTCATATCTCTAAAATGTTAGGGTCTCCACTTAAATTGGGCTGCATCTTCACCAATAGCCTCTTCTGGGCTCTTTTTTTTTTTTTTTTTTTTTTTTTCCAATTGAAACAGGATTTCTCTGTGTAACCTTGACTGTCCTGGACTCAATTTGTAGATCAGGTTGGCCTCATACTCACAGAGATCTGCCTGCTTCTACCTCCCGACGTGTTGGAATTATTCTGGGCTCTCCTTAAAGACTCTGGTCCTGCCGTATTGTACCAATTTCTCAATTTCTTTCCATGAACCCTTCAACCCTAGGGCTTCTATTGCAAGTGAGTCTGCACCCTTGCTAATGAATTCTCCTGTCTCTCCTCCAGGATTCCTGCCTGGCCACATAATGACAAGTCTCCACTGCTCACCAAGACACCCTCGTGCCTTCAAAACCAGTACCCCCTCGGTGACTCTTACATACTACCAAGTCTGGCCGCCAGCATGAAACGTAGCCTTTGCCCTCCCTGGACCACAGCTTCTGTGTACTGCCTCTGAGTAAGAACTCCTACCAGGTTTTACCTAAATGATGTTGGCCTCTTCTCAATCACAGCTGATTCTCCCTCCCTAGCTGACAAATACCGATTGTCCCAACAAAGCAAAGGTTTCACTTGAGTGGTTCTTAATTCAAAGTATCACTCAGGCAACGCTTATGGAGTCTTTGCTTCCTTCTGAAACTTCAGAAGCTACCTCCCCACCGTCTGCACTGTCCTCAGGTTTATCTCCTGAGGTCCCACACAGTTCACTAGGTTCTAGGCGCTCAATGGCTTTTCCAGCCCAACGTTCCAAAGTCCTGTCACAACCCTCCCCAAAACAACATGGTCAGGCCTGGCGGAGCAATGCCCAGTTCCATCACCAATTTTTTTTCCCCTTAGTTGGGATTTCTATTGCTTTGATAAGCACCATACCTAAAAGCAACTTAGGGAGGAAAGGGTTTATTTCACCTTAGACTTGCCCATCACCGTCCGTCATTGAAAGAAATTATGCCAGGAAGCAGGGGGCAGGAACAGAAGCAAAAGCCATGAAAGAATATTGTTTACCTGCTTGCTCTCCATGGCTTGCTTGGTTTGCTTCTTTTTTCCCCAAGACAGTGTTTTTCTGTGTAGCCTTGGCTGTCCTGGACTTGCTTTGTTGACAAGGCTGGCCTCAAACTCGCAGAGATCCACCTGCCTCTGCCTCCCTGAGTGTTGGGATCACAGGAGTGCCCCACCAACCCAGCTTCTTCTGCTTGCTTTCTTGTAGCACCCAGGACCACCTGCCCAGAGGTGGCCTTGCTCCCAGTAAGCAGGAAGCACCTACATTAAGTATTACAGAGTCTCCTACAAACAGATCTTATGGTGGCATTTTCTCTGTTGAGAACCCCTACTCTCAAATGACTCTAGCTTATGTCAAGTTGACATAAATCTAACCGAGACAAAAGTCAAAATGAAGTTCTATTGTTGCTGTTATTTTGAGACAGGAGTTTGCCCAGGCTGACTTCAAATCTGTGAGACTTCTGCCTCAGTCACCAGAGTGCTGGGGTTGGGTACCGTGCCACCATATTCAGTACAAAATGACCTTCTTTTGGCTGATGTCTTTCCAGTGTTTTTAACACCACTGGCTAATGTTCTATGATATTGTATTTTAACCTCTTCACTACAATAATTAAAACCCGTTAAAGATGCCAATCACAATGTGGCAAAAATAACCAGGATAAGATACAAGGCAGTATTCTTGCCATCACATCAGTGTGAGCCATTTTTTTTAATTTACCGTTTTCAGACCTACAATGAGATTAGAAGTTCTCCCCCAATCAAGAGCTCTATTTGATTGTCATGATGTATCCTTTATTAAGAAGAAAAACAAATTTTTTGTGGGGTAGAATATAGGCAGGATAAATATTTTCCATGCGGTCACAAAGTATCTGAAACCAATTTTAAATGACTTCAAAGTTCGGTCTGTTCATGTCCTCTCAAAATTCACATGTTGAAGCTTTAACCCCCAATAGTTTGGGGAGATGGAGCCTTTGGGAGGTGATCGTATCCTATTCATGTTCACCCTATTGTGAACATGGGTGGGGTTAGTGCCCCAGCTGCCTTGCTCCTCACACCACACGGAAGCCAGCTCAGAAGCACCATCTGTGAATGAGAAGTAGCTCCTCACCAGATAGTGACGCTCCTGTTGTCTTGATCTCAGGCTTTCCGTCGCTCCCCAGCACCACCCTGGAGCTGCTGCAGCAGCCTGACACAATGAGAGAACCAGCCCCTTCTCAGCCTCTGCTCACCCCAAAGCAGTTCCCTGAGATGGGAGGCAGAAAGGGACAGCTTCCAAGTTTTACACTCTGAAGATGAGGAAACAATAGTGCTTGTCTTGATTTGGAAGGTTGTGATTTTGCTATTTTCAGAATGTACTTAACATGAATGAATTTGTCTTCTTTTACAAGGAGAACTCGCGTTACCTTCTGGAGTTGACTACCCATGGCACACACTGACAGAGAATGCTTGTTAGCACTTATTTTTTTATTCATGTGGCTGTTGAGTAGAGAAACGGCTTTAATAGGTAAGATAGTTCTGTAAGCTAGTCTGTTGAAGAAACTGCAGTTTAAATTCTCAGGTACAAATGAATCAGACATTGTGGTAAGTGTTCTAAATGGATTTGGAGGTTAGTCTTTTACCATTTAATGGATAAGTCTGGCTCTGTAGTATTTACCTTATTTGTTTTAATAATTAATATAAGGATATAATCCTGCATCTACTCTTTAAAAAAACTTACTAAGAAACATGAAGCATAATGGATGCATATTTTATATTAAAGTGCATTTTAGGACCAGAAAGATTATTCAGCAGGTAAAGGCACTTGCTAGGCAAGCCTAACCACTTGAGTTTAATCCCGAGTTTAACCCACATGCCAACCTCCATATGTGTTCTGTAACACATGTGCACACACATAAATAATAAATAAAATAAAATAATTAAAAATTAAAATACTCCTGTTTTAGCAGGGGTATTCATGGGTGAATTCATATATTTAGGAAGAGGTTACATTTTTCTGACTTTGTGAATAAGAGTTTGATTTTGGCTTCCTGGCCCATTATAATGAAGATCAAAGAAACCAAGAATAATATGGAAGAAAAATAAGAGCAGGAGAGAGACTTCATTTTAGCTTTGAAAATAAAAATGAGTGTTTTATTTTAAAGGATTGTTTAGTATTTCTTTTACTTGAGGTAAGTAATGACTTCTTTACAATTTTCTTTTGATGCACATTGATCACATCGTAGAATTATCCCCAAAGAAGACTTCCAGTGGGGCCTTTACATCACATCTGAAATTGAGAATGAATCTGTACTTTGTAGATCTTTTTACTGAAGTGTGTCAGTGGAAGGCTTTTGGAATTGAGTCAAGTGGGAATTCAAGGCTGTATTGGCTATAGTAACTAATCCATAAGAGTCATCCGAAAAGAGGAGCGTATACATGTCCTTTACTTCAATAATACTGCCCAGGACCCTGCATCTTGAAGAAGAATCAATATATGGATTATTATATTAAGCCCACTTTCCTTTGCTTTGTTTTGTTTGTTTGGCACATACTCTGACTATGTGCCTAGTCTGGCCTTTAGCGCATGATGCCCCATCTCAGCTTCCCACGTGCTGGGATTATAGAACCACATCTGGCTTCTGATTTTCATCCGTGATGCCAATTCAAAGCACACCTGAACCTTTAAATGTTTTATCTTGTTATAAAATGATGTTATAAGTTATACACATTTAATACAACTGATACATTAAGAGAAGAAATTATTTCTAGAAGTGCCCCTAAAGTCTTTTTTTCTTAAAGTCTCTTTTTTTCTTAATGTAATTTCTAAAGTAAGCATTTTAAATCACAAGGGTGATGGTAAACATATTATTCATCCTGGGAAGCTCTTTTTAAGTAGTCTGGTGTGAAAACTGCATGTGGAAAAGTACCATAAACTATTTTGGAACGGCATTGCAGAATGTTCTTTCAATGCTACTTTTTCACTGCTTTCCTCTTGCAGTTATGATTATAGCATGGATGTTTTGAGAAGAAGATATATTTAATTCAGGTACACTTTAGTATGGTTGTTCTTCTATTTTCCAGTATTGGCAACACTGCCAGAGCAATGTGCATTATTAGTAGGTCTATAATCTGATGAGTTGTAATTTTACCCTGCTGTGGGGATCGAGTAAACTCTCCATCTCAAAATGGATGTCTTCCTTCCAACTGAGTTTTGCTTTTATTTCTTCCTCCAGATCCATGCAAGCGAGGCAGCGTAACTGTCCAGCCTTCCCCTACGATTCCACTTGGGGCAGCCGCCAATATTTCCTGCTCTTTGAATTCTAAATATGGCTGCTCTCATCATGAAGACCAGTTAACCCTCTTCAAGTCTGAGAAAATAATCCATGTCCACCAGGGCCAAGCCTTCACTTTTCAGGTCACCGACCTTCCCCTTGACAAAAACGTGTTCGTCTGCAAGACGAAATGCAACGCCGTTCCCAAGGTGGTGTGTGGGGTGCAGGTCTCCGTTGGTGGTGAGCACTCTTTGCTGAACTCTTAGAAGTGGCCATGCTTGCGTGCGTGTGTGTGTGTGTGTGTGTGTGGTGAAGTGAGTAGAAGCCCAAACACAGACAGATACCTTAGTTCTCCCATGACATTAAGTATTTTATTATTGCGAGCAGGGTGAGAATCTCGGTGTGAAAAGTCCAGAAATCAACAGAATTAAGATCCTATTCAGCAACTGACTCCCCACATCTTGCCCTTCAACCTCTCTCCTTTCTCTTCTTCCTTTTCCTCTTTCTCTGACCTTTAGGAGCTGTTGCCTATTTGCTGTCCTCAGCTCTCTGAAGCTGGAACCCCCTATCCTCTTGGCTTGGGAAAATTGGTTCAAAGTTACAAGCTCCTAAAGAGATGGAAGAGTGCCTCTTCCCGCTCTTGCAACCCAGGCATGCAGCTGAGCACCTCCTCTTCCCTTGCTAACTGCACAGCAAGGAAGGAGTTCGTTCACCTCCATTCACTCCTGAGGAGTGGCTGTCACACACAGAGAGGCTAACAGGAAATTACCAGCCTCTCTGGGGCCCTTCCCTGGAAATTTGCCAGTTGCAAAGCTGATACTTCAAGAAGAAAGCTGAGAGAAAGGGAGTTAGGAAGTAGAGTTAATGCATCATTCAGTACTGGGTCGGGTCTAGAAACATGGCATTAATTTCACCATTGGACAAACAACATCAAGTGTACTTGAGATAAGCTAAGATGGCATCGCCAGCTGACGGTACTGCACAGTCATAAATGTGCTCTATAGACTGAAACACCATGACATGTACGTGACGGTACAGCATGGTAGTGTTGCTAAGCTGGCAATGGCCCTGGCAGAAAATACTGCTGACTTTTTGGTCATTTAAGGACATCCCAGAAAAACCACACGGAATACAAAAGCAAGAAAAGGGGGAAATCATTTACCTAGCTCCCGTTAGTTCAAGTTTATCCCATAGAAACTTTTAAGCTACTGGCTTTCAAGGTTAGTACCTCCAGGCAGCTGCTGAGAGATTATGGAGGTCTATATGCCCAAATAAATGCATAAAAGGAAATGCTTATTATTTTAGCAAAAGGAATAATGTATTATTTTATCAGAAAGAACCATGAGGGCTATATATTGTTACACCCAGTCAATAGATGAAACTAAATGCTGAGATGTCAACTTGTCCAAAGCTACACAATGAACACTGCTGTACACATATCTGTGGTGGATGGTAGAACAAAAAAAAAAGATCTTTTCCCCTCAGTTACAGCTTAGGAAGAGGACATGAGGAGGGTTTTGTGGTGTGCATTTTTTATCTTGCCAAAGGTTCATCTGTCTGCATGGAAGTCTCAGAAGTGTAGTAAATGGGATGGCTGAGCAGCTAAATGTTTTCTTAAGACCCTCCATTAATTCTGTTCTTGCAGAGGACCTGGGTTCAATCTCCAGGACATGGAGGTTCACAACCATCTGCAACCTCAGTATCAGGGGATTTGACACCCTCTTCTGCACTCTGTGGGTACCGGGCACACAAATGGTGCCTAAATACACACGCAAACAAAACAGCCAAACACACTTTAAAAATACATTGTTTAAAACAGATACCTTGCTTTGTGCACCTAGGCCTATGCCTGGCCCCATGGAATCTGTAACCATCTGTATGCATAAGAAGTAATCTATACCTGCTCTGTACGCCAAGTGATACAATGTCATGGCAGCCCATTTTGTAAGCATGGACACAACAACAGTGCTTTTTGTTTTTGTTTTTTAATTGTCATTGGTAGAGATTTGTTTTTGCTTGTTGAAATGGAGTTGAATTATATAGTTCAGGATGTCCTTGAATTGACAATCTTCCTACGTTAGTGCCCCGAGTGAGGCAATTACAAGTGGGTGCCACCATGCCTGGCTTAAAGTTTTCTAATAATAAGTGGATACTTCTCTGGCACTGTGGCTCTACCTGCGGTAATAGATGTTTGTATTTTCAGTAAAAATGGTAGGAATGTTGCTTGCCAGCCCCACCTGGGTCAGAGCCCTGGTTCTGCCCTTCATAGTTTTGTATTCTGGGCCAGATACAGATGCCTTAGATGACAGATGCCTAAGTCTTGGTTTCTTTTTTGATAATAATCTTAGGTACTTTATGGAGTGCTGTGGCTGAGAACCGCTTATAAGGCGCTTGGCACAGATTTCAGCTACAAGATGTGATCAATATTCATTACTATTGCTTTAATTATTAGAGAAAATTTATAGCTTGGGAGCAAATGTAATGTCATTGGAATGTGGCTACATCTAGATTTGTGGGACATGTGAAAGGTATCAATATACTGGCAAATAATAACAATGTAATTTTGATATCAACTATTCTTCCTTTGTAAAGTTCCTCCAGAGCAACCTCAAAACCTATCCTGTGTCCAGACAGGAGAAAATGGGACTGTGGCCTGCACCTGGGACCCTGGACGAGATACGCATTTGCAAACCACTTATACTTTACAGTGAGTAAGGGCCTATGTGCCTGCTTTGTATATATTCTCTTACATGGCTTTCCGCAGTACCAAATGCTTTTATTATTTGCCAGGAGAAACAGCAAAAAATAGCTCACCTACAATTTAAATACTGTTTCCACTGTCTGTCAGTGAGAGCTGCCTCAGTCATTGGAACTGTGAGGCCTGATACCTTAGATCCACATTGTCATTCAAGGTTTTCTTTGGGTCATCCATGGCCTTGGTTATGACGGTCTCCCTGCAAGCAAGTTAAGCTGGCTGTGGAAATAAAACCTCTTTTGCAGTCACACATGCTTGGGCAGCAGGATATACAAATAGACTCCTCCTTGGAAGAATTGCTTTTTAAAATAGTTGACGTGAGAGTCCATAAGAAGAGGTGACACAGGGAACCTCCCTTCCTGGACCATATCACATAATCTCATCACAGGCCCAGCTTGTGCCTTTATGAGAAGGATATACAAAAGGCAGTGGGAGCTGGGTACTGTGGCACATGCCTATAATCCCAACACTCAGGGATGCAGAGTTCAAGGCCAGCCTGGTCTACAAAGCAAGTCCAGGACAGCCCAGGCTATATAGGAAAAAAAAAAACCCTGTCTCAAAATAAAATAAAATAAAAAACCAAAACCAACCAAAAAACAACAAAGACAATGGGACCAGGCTTCTTACTCCAGACTGAGCTCACACCATACTTCCATTCAGTGGAGGTCAGATGCTTACAGGTCCTTTGGATAAAGGTAAGAACTGTGATGAGGAGCCAAGATGACAGCCAGCATTTGGGAACTTGAACACTGTAAGTAAAACACCCTCTATAGACATTCATTTTAAAAGGTTTCATTTGTGCCAAACAAACAAACAAACAAACAAACAAACAAAAAGCGGGGAGGTGAGGAGAAGACATGGTCCTATCCATGAGAACAGGATTCAAGTATTCCCACAGTAGTATATTCCCCGATAACAAAAACAGCCTTAAAATGTCTGTCTGGAATTTGCAATGTTATAACACTTTGTTCTAATGATTGCAGGAAGCAGATTAAAGTACATTGTTAAACACAGTTGTATTTGGATTACAGGTTAACTGGACCAAACAATGAGATCTTTCAGGCCCGAAACAGTTGTCAGAATTGCAGTCATTTGGATCTTAGATCTACTCTAACCCCTGAATTTGCTGATTCCAAGTACACAGTCAGTGTCACTGCCGTCAATGATCTTGGAAACTCATCTTCATTTCCATTTACGTTCACCTTCTTGGATATAGGTAAATTTTATTGCAGTTTTTCAGGTGTCATTTACTGGTTCGTGAAAATTTTTTAAAACTCACTCAAATCTTTTGTGTGTGGTTGTTTCAAAGAAGACAGGCACTGATGAAAAGTGACCAGTAGGTACAGACAAAGTTAGAAGCTGTTTTGATGCATGTAAAAGAAAACCTGGCCTGTGGCCATGTAGAAGCCGATACAGAACGGGACCTTCAACCTCATTCTCTTAGAGAAGAAGAGTTCCTGTCTCGTTCCCATGAAAGAAGCAGTAGCCAGTGACAGCGCTGACTGAAGCGGGTTCCAGGAGGCCATCTATGTGTCCTTTCATCGCACTGCACACAGTGTGCCAAGACACAAACGTGTCTGCCCTGAGAATGCCAGCCTTCACCCTGGGAACTGTAATGAGCCAGTTTCAGCACATGTGTAAACAATACAGTTGCCCTAGCTAAGTTAGAAGCCAATCTCAGGCACCCCAGTTTGCAGCAATCCAGACAGATGGGGGAACATCCAGATGGGCCTGAGTGTCTGTCCTCCCTTCACACCATCTGTCTCTCCTCTCCCACAGTGCCTCCTTGGTATTTGCACACTTCTTTGCTCTCCTCCTTTCTCCTCATCCACCTTCTGTCTCTTTAAAAACTACACCATCTTTCCCTTTGCTCTTTTACTGTTTTTCCAGTATTTTTGATTTGCTTTGAATTTTCCTAACATTTCTTTTTCTCCAGAAGTGGTCACCACTATCTGTTTCTGCCTTCACAGTAATTGGCATATTGGTTTTCTTTAATTCTATTAATTGGAGTCAACATATTTACTTTTTGGTAAAGATGAGGTTGGATTAAGGGCAATTATTTCAGTGGCTGAGAAGTAAAACCAACATTTTAAATAGCTCATGTCTCTGCTTGTAACGCCTGACGTCACATTTTGTTTTGTCTTGGTCGCTAGTGAGGCCCCTTCCTCCGTGGGACATCAGAATCAACTTTCTGAATGATTCTGGGAGCAGAGGTATACTGCAATGGAAAGACGAGGGACACGTGGTATTCAATCAACTCAGATACAGGCCGCTTAACAGCACATCCTGGAATATGGTAATGATCTTTAGAGAAATGGGGGAAAGTCAGCAAGGACCCTTGACATTGTTGCACAGACTCATCTTGTCATGTCAAATAATAATAATAATAATAATAATAATAATAATAATAATAATAATAATGAGTTTAAAAACGTTTAGCTTGGAAACACACAATTGGAAATCTATTAGAAAGTTGTATATATCTCTTTCTATTAAAAAAAAGTATGTGTACAATGGTTTCCCTGAATGTATGTGTGCCATGTGCTCCCTTAGGCCGGAAAAAGGCATCAGATCCCCTGGGACTGGAGTTGCAGATTGTCCCAGCACCAAATGGGTGCTGGGAACCAAAACTTGTTCCTCTGCAAAAGCAGCATGTGCTCTTAATCACTGAGCCATCTCTGTGTTTATGAAGAGGTACTGGAGCAGGAGAGGTGGGTCAGTGGGTGAAGTGTTTGCTGAGCAGGCATGAGGACCTGACTCTGGGTCCTCTAAAGAGAGGGGCATGGCAGCCTATGTCTGTGATCCCAGCATGGAAGGACAAAGACAGGATGACAAAGATGGAGGACGCTGGTCAGCTAGCCCCGCCAGTCAGCAAGAGCCAGGGTCCGTGAGAAACAAAGAACAAACCAGTGCATGAGCAATTGATGAAGACACCTAGAATTGACCTCTGGTCCCCACACGTACATGTGTGGACTTGTGTATGCCCCCATACAAACATGCACACACATGGACGTATACATACAAACAGATCAAAAATATCTTGATCCCTGATTCTGAATTTTAATTATTTTACTTTTGTTTACTTATTTATTTGTGTGTGTGTGTGTGTGTGTGTAGGTACATGTGTGCCACAGTGTATGTGGAGGTCAGAGGACGACCTTTAGGAGTCAGCTCACTCCTCCCACTGTGAGGGCTACGAATAGAACTTAGGTCATAAGGCGGGCACACCAATCCCCTTTGCCTGCTGAGCCAAGTCACAAGCTCTGATTCTTTTAGGCCACAGGCTTTCATAAACCTATTTTCAATAAAGAATTTGTTTCCCCTTATTTTTCAATCGCCTTCTTCACTGTTCTTTAACATTGAACACATATTGGAAAGAAATATTAAAGTATTCCTCAAAGGCTTATATGGAACTAGATACTCGTAAGAACTGTAATTTGATAGGTTAGGCAATACACTGTAGGTGTGAGGGTGCAGGGGTCCTGTGTGTCATGCCATGCCAGTGGAGGGCAGACAGCAACCTTGAGTGTCTGTCCTCACATCCCATTCTCACCTTGCTTGACAGGGTGTGTTTGCCCTTCACAGACACAGTCCCCAGGCTATCGGCCTATGAGCGTCTCAGAGTTTCCTGTCCCGCCACTCAGCTCACTAGAGAAGCCTGACCCTGCACTGACCCTGGAGATTTGACTTATGTCCTCACATTTGTTCAGCAACAGCTCTACCCGCTGAGCCATTTTCCCAATCTGGTGCTACCATTTTTCATAATAATAAATAAAAGTAGGATTATGATTCCTTCAAGAGTTTTTGTACAGTGGCTTATATTATAGCAAAGGATTGGCTTCACATATAGCTGATACTCAAAAGAATATAACTAACATTTTTCTCCTTAAACCAATTTTATGTGAAAGCATTCATCATATGCTAATTATATATAGTGTAGAAATTTCTCTATGTGGCTTTCAAACCCAATAGATTTTTGAACTAGTGTAATGGTACATGCCTATGATCCCAGCATTCTGAAGGCTAAGAGTTCCAGGCTTGCCTGGAGTGCTGTATGTGCCTGGTGCCCATGGAAGCCAGAAGAGAACAGATCCCCTGGGACTGAAATTACTGACAATTGTGAGTCACCATGTGGGTGCTAGGAATTGAATTCTGGTCCTCTAGAAGAACAGTAAGTGCTTTAACCACTGAGCCATCTCGCCAACTCCCAATAGATAGGCTCTTAATCCCTTGAGTTTTATTTTCTTCTTAATAAGAAATGATATTAGATTAACATCTAATTAGCATTATTTATTCTCTTTCAGTGGTAGACCTGGAGAATTTAAAAGATCATCTTATCTAGATTGTCCTTCCAGGTTAAAAGTCTCTGTATCTGGCTGGGGAAATGCCTCAGCAGCAGAGAACCTGGCTTTGGTTCTGAGTACCCACACAGGGTGACTCACAGCTGCTTGTAATGCCAGTTTCGAGGGATCCAATGCCCTCTTCCAATGCCCCCGCTGGCTTCCTTGGAACTCCTGCACTTACATGGTACAGATACAAACACTCAGACACACATAAACAAAGAAATAAATATTTTAAAAATTCTTTGTACTGTCCTTTCTGTATATGAGCATTGCAAATACGAAGGACACACTGTACCACCAAGCTACTTCCTCTTTCAATCCATTTGCTACTGATAGGTACTTTAAAGACCTCGTCTGTTCTGCTATTTCATTCTGTCCTACAAGATTGCCTTAATGAGTAAGAACATGGATTTATCGATAGAGCCTGTGGAGGGTATTGAGGAGGGTATTGAGTAGAGGACAGACGTCAGGCTCACCCTTAGCACACCTAAACAGCTGAATGGACCTATGATGTACTTTAAAGAGCAAAAGATTATGAAATTCCGTGAAGATGCTCACTATTTTCAATTGTGTGTGTGTGTGTTTTTAAAATGTGTATGGTTGTTTTGCCTGACTTTTGTCTGTGTACCACATGCTTGCTTGGTGCCTACAGAAGCCAGAAAAGGGCGTCCAATTGCATCCCCTGTAACTGGAGTTATAGACAGTTGTGAGCAGCCATGTGAGTCTGGGAATCAAGCCTGGATCCTCTGTAGGAGTAACCAGTGCTCTGAATTGCTGAGCCATCTCTCCAGTCTCCATGCTGACTATTTTATGGGAAGGAGAGCCTTGTCTCTTTGCATACTGTCTGCCTGTACTGAACTATCACAATACATAAGAAAGAATACAGAAGCACTGTATCTCAGTGAAGCAAATCTCATCTGATTCAAGGTTTATGCTGCAAATGCCAAAGGAAAATATCTCCTGCAAGATCTGACACCATTTACAGAATATGAATTTCAGATTTCTTCTAAGCTACATCTCTCCAAGGGAAGCTGGAGTGAGTGGAGTGAATCACTGAAAACACAAACACCAGAAGAAGGTAGGCATCCAGAGAAAAAGAGGGGGAGGAATCGGAGGAAGGGGACAGGAAGAGGAAAGGCCTTCCTTGGAGTGTATGCAGTAGGAAGCCGCCCAGGAAGGTAAGCTTTATATGCTAAGAAGTTTAGCAAGACAGCTTCCTGCCCACCAGGAAAGTCACTGCCTCACTACTGACCAGCTCATTTGTTCTTACTTCTCTTACCTTATCAGCAGCTGTTGTCCCTCAAAGTTGTACCAAGTAATTAATCTCATTTTGTTGATATCTTTGCTTCTTTGAAAATTATAAACTATAATTTTGAAACTGTAAGCCATGAAAGAGGCTTGAAAGAATTTCTGAAGACAGTACCCTGAAATAAGAGTAATGTCCAACAGTTCTCTTTCCTCCAAGCGCTGCACTGCACCGCTTCAAGCTTTCCACGTTACCCTGTTGTACCAGGGCTAGCAGCAGCATTATCAAGTTCAGGTTTCTATCAAACGTATTTTCCCTTTTTATGCATTGACAAGGATTTTCTTTTCTTATTTTTTAGCACTAATCTGATAAATTAAAACTTCTCCAAGACAAACTAGTAATTCTAATGTGCTGTGAATAAGCCACCAGTCACTGTGAGGCTGGTATGTTCAGAACAGAGCAGGTACTTGGAGAACTAAGGCCAGGCTTACCTTGCTCTGTTCACTTCCTTTCAATGTCTGCATCTTGCTTTTCTGTGTTTGATCTTTCTGTGGGCTGTCCTATACTCTCTGCTCTTACTTTAAGCTGTGTGGTTTACACCCCTTACCACTCTTTTCTGTCATCAGTTTCCTTTTGAAACACCAACTGATGTAAACCTAAATGTGTGAATTTTTTTTAACACCTCTTCCTTTTAACCCTTTTAAGTGTCCAGTCATACGTAACTCGCTCTACTCTCTGAAGCTGTGAATGATTTATGATAAGGCTCTTTTTCTATAGCCTCAGCTTCTAAAACTAGGAGGAACATTGTGTCCTCTGGTGGCCCGGGCATGGCTATTTGTGTCATTCTAGCTTGGCGATGGCTCTCTTCACTCCACGTGGGCCCCTTCCTCTGGTGTTAAATTCAACTCCTGTCATAGCCCTCCCAAGAAATGACCACTAAGTAAGGGAAGGAGGAAGGAAACCATGTGACTTTCCGAGAAACATCCTATTTAAACATCCATCAGAAGCAGTCTTGACTCTGAGAGCTCGAAGCCTTATTTTCTTTTTAGTAAGAAAACACTCATGAATTTGAGCAGAAGTACCCAGACCTACGCACACTCACCACTCACAACACCTAGCCCAAGGCTCCACTACGATGACTAGGCCTTCTTTTATGTGACCCTTTGCTCACATGTTTGAGTGCTACTCCCTTTAACTAATTTGGGAAATCAATTAAGGAGGCACGGCAATTAATTAGGTCAGAGCGGCAAAGAATTGTTTTATGTCATGGTGACAACACAGATAAGTGAAAGACGTCCAAAGGAGAGAGATTCAATACCCATCACAGCCTCCCTTCCTCACATTGAGAAGCCAGATCATTCATTCATTCTTTCTTTTGTTCATTCATTCATATGTTATCACCATTAAGATAGGTGTGAACAATTAAAGAGTTATTCGTCTTAGATAATCTTTTATCACAGTGAAGCTTGGAAGTTAGCAGTTTATCTGCAGAGCCAAAGAGTTAATACTTGTACCTTTGTAGTCTCTGCAGTTATTAAAAATTGTTCTTGAAGTATCTAAGCAGCCATTGGCATCAATGAGGGACATGGCTAATTCCAAGAAAACTCCATGTATGAGTACCAACATTTGGATTTTATAAAGTCTTCATGTGTTACTAAAAAATGACATTTCAGATTTTATAACAAGATTTAAAATGCCAAGCAACTATTATTGTTTACTGCTGTACAAAAATGGACATCGGGTGGATTTGGAGCACAAACCATAGTTGTCAACCCCAGAATAGGCTCAGAGATTATCATGTTTCTGTCTCCTTGCCTAAGGCTGGAGAAAATAAGAATGACAGGCTCTGTACTCTGCTGAAAGGATGCACACGCAAACATTTCATGACGGGGGAGGCATTTGTGATCTAGCCAAAGGCCCAGTCTTTGCCCCTTCTTTCATCTTCTTTAAGCTTGTCCCTGTCCCTGAGGAAGTAAATCCCTGGACATTTTTAAAATTAAATTCATGTATTTATTCACCTTCATCCCAACCGCAGCCCTCTCCCTCTTCTCCTCTTAGTCTCACCCTCCCACCGTCTTCCTCCTTACCCCCTCCCCTTCTCCTCAAAGAAAGGAAGCACCCCACCCCGTACCAACCCACCCTGTCACATCAGGTCATCATCAGGACCAAGCACATCCTCTTCCACTGAGGCCAGACAAGGCGGCCCCGCTAGGGGAAAGGGGTCCACCAGCAAGCAACAGAGTGATAGCCCCTGCTCCACTTGTTAGGGGGCCCACGTGAAAATCAAGCTGCGCCATCAGTTACATATGTGTCAGGGACTGCCTGTACGTTATTTGATAAGTAGTGGCCACCTCACTACTGGAAAGTGCTTTCCCTTGAAATAGAAAGCATAGCCTATAAGAAATGCATTTACATGAGAAACTTCACCAAGTGCTGGAACACAACAACAACTAGTCAGAACTTCAGACTTCAGGAATTGCAATTTATGTTGGAAGGCTAGAGCAAAATTCCTCCGGGAGGCAATGTTAAGGGAAAACACAACACCCGAGAGGGATCTGGATAGAATAACAATCTTCTTACATGCCTTTGCCGCTAGAAACTGAAGTTCATGTTCCCGCAAAATTCATAGAGTGAAGCCCTGATCCCTGATGGGATAGAATTAGGACTTGTACAGTAACTGGGCACAAGTACAGAGTACAGAGCCTTCATAAATGGTATTCTTGCCCTCATAGAGGGAGGAAAACAGGTCTGTCTCCTGCTCCCCCACTTCCTGTGTGAGGATTCAACAAGAAGGCCCCAACAAGCAGGCTCTCTCTAGGCATCAGATCTGACAGCACCTGGATCTTCACTTCCCAGCCTCTAGAACCATACTAATAGAAGTGTGTTGTTTAGCCATCCATTCTAAGGGTTTTTGTTTTTAACAGCAGTCTGACTTGGTCTTGAGTGAGCAAAAGAGCTATTGCCTCTCCCAACTCCTAAGCATGCAATACACTGAGTTCTCTGAAACCTCGTAGTCTTGGTTGTTTTTCATCTCTTGTGCTGTCTCTCTCTTCTCAGTCTCATCTGTAATCCCATTGCAAGTAGGGCAACAATATTAGCACTTTCAGACCCAACACTTGTCTTAAATGCTGTCACATTACCAACATGCCCTCAGCCCTGTGTGTCTTCCCATTGTCTCCCGCTGTCCTGAACTGTGTATTTCTCATCCATGTGTCTCTAAATAACATCTAGCTCTCCTTGTTTGAGCTTTATGAAATTAGCATTCTCTGTCTTATCTACAGCCCACGTCTCCCATCAGTACTCTTAACAATTGCTTCATTGTAGGGTGGATGAGTCAGCAGAGAAACCTAGAAAACATTGTTCCCTCAGCACCTTCTCACATAGAATCATGACCCCAGGATAATCCTTGCATCAGTAAATAAATAAATAAAAAACAAACAAAAAACAAAACAGACAAACAAAAAACCAACCTCTTGATTTGGGATGCTAAGAAATGCAATGAAAATACTCTGGCTTCTCTTCAGATTGTATGAATCTTTCACCTTTTTCTAATGAAATGCAATGAAATAGTGCAGAGAAGTGACCATGAGACCTGGTGACTTGGACAGCCAGTACAATCAGTGCATATGGAGAAAAGCAATTTCACATAACATGGAGAGTGAATGTGAAGTGAGAAAATGAAGATGGCAATAGTTTTCAATCTTTCCCAAAAGTTCTGTGAAAGACAGAGGTGTGGGGCAGTAGATGGGAAATAGATGGTATTAAGAAATTCTTTGTTTTTCTTGTGGGGATCAGATACAATGCAGTATATGCATTCAGTGTAAAAGAATAACAGGATTCCCAGGGAGGGGCCACTGATGATCCAGGGAAGGCAGCCTGGGTCCTGGGCAGAAGGAGAGCACCACCAAAACTTCACTTGCATTTGTTCTTGAGTTTGTGGAGGGAACTTAAGTGCAGAATTTGACTCCTAGCTTGTGATAATCTGTTAGGCGCTGGATCTTTAAAAAGCAATCTAGTGGGCAATGCCTTCAAATTTGTTGCCAATATGTAATTAGCTGAAGGCATTACTGCTGAGAACAGGTCAACTGATTTTGACACTGAACACACTCAGTCCTAATTACATGGTCAATGCCTGGACTATGTCCTTTGTGGAAAACTGAGATCTTTGTTCAACACTGCAACCTGCAATGGGAAAAGCAGGCTTTGGAGACAGCAAGAGCCGGTCTCAGCTCTCAGCTTTGCCGGTTATCAGCTCTGAGTGTTTTGTCTATCTGGTACTTGCCAACCTCCTTGTCCACAAGTGTACAGCAAACGTTATCATGTGATCTTTCGGTATCAGAAGTGGGTCCAATGAGACCATGGACACACATGACAGCCGTCAAACTTTGGAATGCGCTTTGGAATGGTCAGTGTCAGCTGCTTGTACATTTTAATTCTCTGCACCTGGGCTAACAGGTGCAAGTCCCAGGCTCGATTCTTGTCCCTCTTTCAGGTCCTGAAGAACTGAGAGCATTGCAAAATGCTTTATGGAAGCTTTTCTCATCTCGTAGTTCTTCCTGCAAGGGCAGTGTTATCCCTTTCGGGAAGAAAAAGGCTGTAAAAACACAAGTAGGGACTGGAGAGATAGCACAGAGGTGAAAAGCACAGCTGCTCTTCTGGAGGTCCTGAGTTCAATTCCCAGCGACCACATGTGGTTCACAACCATGAATAATGAGGTCTGGTGCCCTCCTCTGGCCTGCAGGCATTCATTCATATAGGCAGAACACTATACACATAATAAATAAATTTTTATTTATTTGTTTACACACACAATAGATGATTCAGAAGAGGAGGAGAGAGGAACAAAAAGACAGAGGGACAGAGGCAGAGAGGAAGAAAGACATAGAGACGGAGAAGTTACAAAGGGAGAGGACAGTCATAGAAGAGGTCCACCTGATGGGGAGTGCAAGTTTTATAGAGAAGTCACAGGCTTTTTCCAAGCCAAATTACTTATGCTGCAAACCATCCCAAGCCGAGCTATGGAATCAAATAAGCCCATGCTCAGGCCTGACTTCCATAGCTATGAATTCTCAGTTTCTTAACCATGCAGTGACTCAGTTTTCAAACGAGAAACATGGCAACAGTTAATTATGGCAGCACTCTTCTCAATTCTCAAGACCGCCCCCATGATATGGAGTTACCTACTTTATTTGACCGATGAGGAAACCCGCTAAAGGGGATATTTGTTAAAGATCATGAGCAGCGTTCTGTAGCACATAGCCTAGGTCCTTGGTAACCCTTACACTAAATCTAGTGCCAGCAGGACATGAGGAGAATGAAAGGTGATGGATGCTGAGAACCCAGGAGGCCCTTGAGACAGTGCTGACACAGGTCTGCCCTGGCTTGCCCTTCCTTTCCCCATTGCTAGTCTCTCCCCAGCTGTTTAGCTTTTGTTATCCAGGTAGTAGGTGTTAATAGTCTAGTAATTTTGTTCTGGTTGAGAGGAACTTTTCTCCAGAAGGAACCCCAGTGCAGCCCCACCTAAAACACAGTTTCACTGTGAAGAAACTGGGTTGTAGCAACAGCAGCTGACTTCAGTGGATGGTTGTTCTATCAAGTAGGAGAAAAGTATACACACACACACTCTCTTCCCTCTCTCCTCTCTCCTCCCTCCCTCTCTCTCTCCTCTCTCTTACCTCTCTTTCTCTCTCTCTCTCTCTCTCTCACACACACACAGCACAGCATCAGTTATTCTATCTGTTTTCCAAGTACGTTTGTCTCAAGTGTGAGTGTACCGTAGTCAACCATTGTCGTATAGCTTGATACTTATTTCTTCACAGCTTGTGTTTTGACATCAAATACATTAACATTACCTGGTTTGTTCGTCCGTCACTGAACAATGCTTACCACATACTAGGCATTGTGACTTCCAAGGTAAATGAGACGTGCCTTCCCTCCAAGTAGATCACATGAAATAACGCGCTTCAGTCCAGGTTTAGGCCTGGGATGAAGATAAAGCTTGCCATTGTGTTTAGGTTCCTACAATACCTTGATTTTTTTTTATGTCCTTCCTTTCTCACATTCCAACAAAGAGTGAAATAACCACATATACCTTGAATTTTTAACTTAAATACCTGTGTACAAATGAAGCATGAGTTTATATATTTTAAATTAAGTTAATAAATAAATTTCCTTCTCAATAGTTTTAATTTTTTCGTTTCAAAGTATCCTTTTTTTTTCATGGCAAAAGTATACATGTTTGATTTTCAGTAAAACAGAAAATACTAGATTACAGTCAAAGTTGAAATTAGCCTATAATAATTTCCAGAAACGTTTATTGACTTTTAAAGGTTTTCTATTGTGGGTATATCTATATTTGTATTAAAATGTGCTCTTCACCCTTGCCTCTCACCAGCACCCAATGGGACATTAGACCTCTGGTACATGAAACAGAACATCAGCTACAACAGACAAAATATCTCTCTTTCCTGGAAGGTAAGCTTTTAACTCATAAATCCAAGGGAGTATAAACTTAAGCAAGTAGGAGAACATGTCCTTCTGCTTCCGCTGTGGCTGCGAACGGCCCTTTGGGGTCACAGGAGCTCAGGCAACTCCACGATGCCATCAGCACGCCAGCGTTCCCTCCTCCAGTGTTCACATCCTCGCTTCACCCACTTCTGTCCCCAGCACCTGACTCTAAATTATACCTTCCCTGTTAGCCACCACTCTTTCAAAACCGGGCTCAGCAGAGACTTTCTGTCTCATTGAGTCATCCTTGGTGAGCCAAAGATGAGAAAATTGTGGGTGTGCCTGTTTAGGAATTTTTCCCACAGTTATTGAAAGAGCAAAGGTTTTAAGCAAGAAGAAGGAAACTGACCTAAATGGTGCTGGAAAGCAACCCTCCTCAGCAGGAAAGCAGCAACAGCAGAACGCTGGAGGCTGCCTTTCTTCCGAGGAAGCACAGCTGCCCCTGGGCAGAAAGCCACCGGGACTTCAGCTAATCCTCACAACCCCTGTGCATTAGGCACTGGATATTCACCTACCAGATGAAAAAGCAGGTGTCAGAGGACGGGAGGGTATGTCTGGGGTCATCCAGCCACTAGGTGGAGATGAGGACTCGAGATCCTCTCTAACCCTTTTCCTGCTACTTCATAAGTCATCTTTATTGAGTCAAAATACAGCTTGAACTCAGCTATGGCCTGCATGCCCACAGGACAAGGTTTCCACGTGAGGTGTGCTCTACTTGATCTCTCAAAGCTCCTTCCCGTCTGCCCCCACCACACATGCACTGTTAGGGTTTATTTAAAGATGCCACATGCAACAGATGTGACAGGAAAGAGTTTTATCTCCCTCCTCCCTCCCCACTTCATGCAGCAAACCCACTGCTGACTGATGCAGCTTGAGGCTGACCTTGCACAGGCCTTGTGCAGGTCGCTACAGTGAGTTCGTGAGTGCGATGGCGTATGGTCCTCAACAGCACTCATCCCCATCCTCTGCCTGCTACATTGCTTCTGCCTCCTCTTCTGCAGTATTTTCTGAGTCTTGGCCATGCAGTTAAAACAGAGGTCCCACTGTGAGCTCAGCACCCAGTAGTCACTTATTTTCAGTACTTTGGCCAGTTCTGAGTCTTCGCTCCAGCTGCCTAGCATTTCAGAGAGAAGCTTCTCCAGACAGGGTTGAGGCAGCACTAAGCCGCATAGAAGTATTTAGAAACCGGTTTAGCAGAATGTCCACCGAGCAAGACAAGATTAGTACGGTCCCTAGGCCCTTTGACCTCCTCAGCCAGGGGCTTCTGACCAAGTTTACATTAGCAGGCATGAAGTCCCCCCCAGGGAGCAGGCCTCAAATCTAATCCTCAAGTGGTTGGTTACCCCACAACCTCCAAGTCACTGTTTCACCCACAGACATGTCATGCCAGCAGGCCAGCATTGCGGCACGCGGGCTTCACCACCCGCCGGTGGCTCCTCTCCACAGCTGCGTCCACACACCTTCCAACGCCAAGAGCCCTGGTCAGCAGAGAGGGAGCGTTCAAGTCAGCTCCCACAGTCAAAGTGTTTTATGTCTCACTGTCTCGTACTGGTGGGCAACCAGGAACAATGACCATGGCCTGTGTTATTTGGCGAGCACCCGGGCCCCCCCCCATCCAATAACTCATAGGTAGGCATTCTATACCGGGCACTACAGTTTTAACTTATTAAATGTCTTCTATGGAAGCATTGCTACCCAAGCTATGTTCAAACTCCTTTTTCAAAAATCATTTATCAACTTTAGCACTGCTCCTAGTTATGTCTTTCTGTCTACTACTTTTAGGCTTGGTTTGTTCTTGTTTTGCCAAATCCTTAAGACTTATTGTTAAATTGTTTATTTGGATTTCTTTGATTTTCTAATGAAGGTACTTAAGACTACAAACTTACCTCTGAAGACCACCTTCATTGTATTCCATATACAGTGGTATGTTATATTTTTATGTTCATTTGATAGTAGAACTTTTAAATTTCCTTTTCAATTTTTTTTTTACTTACACATTAATCTTTCATCAATGTGTTATTTACTCTGAATAAGTTTATATATTTTCCATAGTTTTTCTTGCTGCCAACTCCTAGTTTTAATCTGCGGTGGTAAGATCACATATTAGGATGTGATCTATTTTAGATAGTTTCATGGACTGCTTAGACAAAAGAGTGTTTTATCATGTCCAGGTATAGCATCTATAGATATCTGTCAGGTACGTTTGATCTATGACTTAATTCCAGCGTCCCTGTGTTTTTGTTTGTTGTTGTTGTTGTTGGCCTGACTTATCTTTGGGTGACAGTGGAATACTGAAGTCACTCACTGATGCTGTGTTGTTGCCAATCTGTACCTTTGTATCTAGTAGTATTTGTTTTGTGAAACTGAATGCACCTGTGTTCAGTGCTCATCTGTTTAGAGCTGTAATGTCCCTTGATGGATTATCACTCAATCAATATGAAGTGATTTTTATCTCTTCTGACTAATTTTGGCTTGGAGTCTATTTTGTCAGATATCACAATAGCAGTAACTGTTTGTTTCTTGGTTCCATTTGCTTGTATACCTTTTTCCATCCTCTCACCTGCCTTTGATGTTGAGGCGTGGTTCTTAGAAGCAGTAAAATGAGTGCTCTTGTTTTCTAACCCAATCTTCTAGTCTGGGTGTCTTGATTGAAGAATTGAGCACATTAATATGAAAGGTGTAAATTAATTCTTGTCACTTGTTGGTTGTGCAGTGCCGAGTGTTTTCTTAATTCTTATATGTATCATTTATTCCACCTCCTGGAGCCTCTAAATTGTGTTTTTTCTCTTATGTTTTTAATATTCCTTTCAATATCCTTTGTGGAGCTGGCTTAATACTCATAAATTCCTTTACCCTGCTTCTTGTAATGGGAAACTCTCTTTTTCCTTCAGTTATGACAGATAATTTGGTCAGATGTAGGTAGTCTTGGATTGGTATCTGTAGTCTTTCATAATTTGAAATATATCTTCCCAAGTGTTTCTAGCTTTTTATTGTTTTGTTTTTTTCAAACAGGGATTCTCTGTGTATTCCTGGCTGTTCTGGAACTCACTCTGTGGACCAGGTTAGCCTCAACCTCAGAGATCTGTCTGCCTCTGCCTCCCAAGTTCTGGGTTAAAGGCGTGCACCATCACTGCCTGGCTCTTGTTTCTGGCCTGCTATATCTTTGCCATGGAATTCTTCTTTCTTTTATCTATATAGTATATACATTTGACCATTTGGAAGTGTCAAAAAGATCACATGTTTTTAAAATTTTGTCAGTTGAGCTGAAGAGATGGCTCAATGCTTTTAGGAGTACTTGTTGCTCTTGTAGAGGACATGGGTTCAATTCCCAGCATCCACATGCTGTAACTGTATCTGTAACTACAGTCTCAGGAGATCCTTACGCTCTTCTGACTTCTCTGGGCGCCAGATATGCGTGTGACATACATAATGTATATACATGCATGCAAGCAAGCATCCATAATAAATAAGTCTTTAAAATTTCATCAGTTTTTTTTAATTGAATGATCTTGTCCTCCAGCTTGTCTCAAACCCTGATATTTTGTCTTCGGCAGTCCATTCCACTGGTGAAGTTTTCCACTGAGATTTTATTTTTATCTGACTTGCTTATTTTTTTTCATTTCTATTCATTTCAGGTTGCTTATTTCTCAGTATTTCTATTTCTTCATTGAACTTATTTTTGAATTGACTTTCTTATTTTATTCAAGCTATTTGTACAATTCTCTTGGAATTCATTTAGGAGTTTATTCCTGTCTTCTTCAAATTCATTCTGGAGACAGGGTGTCAGAATCATCTGGGGTGCTAGCCTTTAACATTAGGAGCTGATGGGATATCTGGGCAGTTCTATGGTAGCAGGTGGTGGGATGTCAGGGTCGCCAGGAGTGCTGACCTTAACTCTGATGAGCAAGTTGACTTGCTGCATGGTTCTATGGCATCTGAGGATGAGGTACTAGCGTCAGCCTCTGATCTGAAAAGCAAGTACCACTTCCATGTGGAGGCTGGGATGGTGATGGAGTTTTGGGTCAACAGGGTCATTGCCCACCGACCAGACAAGCAGATGGGTTCTCTATATGGTTTTGCATGACTGGGGGTTGGGTTTCTGGGGTCAAGAAGGGTGCTGGTTGCTGACCTGCTAAACTAGGTTCTCAACTCAGTTCTGTTGCAGTTGAAGGGTATGCCAGGACTGGCAAGAGTGCTAGCCTCTCACCTCATGAGCAAGCAGGGCTCTCTGTGTGGTTCTATTGCAGCCTCATGGTGGGGCACCTCATGTGTTTTGGAGCAAGGTTTAACCTCTCTGTACATAGTTTGTGCATGAGTAAACTTAAGATAATACTAATGTGTAATAATATATAGATGATACTGATGTATAATGAGGCTACCGTAAAGATTCAGGAGGTGATTATGAAAACTCAGGGTGGCATTCCTGTTACAAGGCAAGCATTGTGCAAAGGAGGATACGAAGGGAAGCTGATAGTCTGCAGGAGAGGGGAGAACACAGGCATGGACGATTTCAGGGGAGTGATGCTTAAAACTTGAAATAAAAATTAGAACACAGTTGGTGTGCACCTGTAGTCCCAACTGCTAAAGAAGCTGAACTAGGGGGATCAGCGAGCTAGAAACTCGAGGCTAGCCTGGCAACATAGTGAGAATTCATCTCAGTAAAGTAAATGAACAACAATGAACCCTGTCTGTTATTTCTCCACTTGGAACTAGGGTTGCTGATGTAAGTCATGAGTTCCAAAACGAAGGCACTGTGAGTGCATGTGGGGATTTGTGTTTTATTTTGTTTTTACATTTATTTATTTGGGGTTGTGTGCACATACCATTGGTAGTGTCTCTCTCTCCTTCCACCATGTGGGTTTCAGAAACTGAACTCAAAGTCATCAGTATTGCTGCAAACACCTTTACCCCTTGGGCAATCCTGCCAACCCAGTATTCAGTTTTCAACTCACAAATTATATGTGCTTTGTGATCAGCCCTAACATTAGCAGGAATTTCATAGACAGCCAAAAGATAAGCTGAGTTATTATTATCCTTATTTTGAAAATGGGGATATTATGTCTCAAAGGGGTAAAATAACTCTGCGTAGTAGATGTTACACGGAGAAGGGAGAAAACCAAAGATTCTCTCCTCTTAAGATTCAAAGCTCAGTACAAAGAACATGTTCTAGCATGCGCAAGGCCTGTATTCAATCCCGGGAGAGGACGTGCACACATTCAGCAACAACCCAAAGCCAAAAGGGAAGGAGAGCTGTGACCGACACATCTCAGTGCCTGAGCTTTTGAAGTGGCCTTCATTACTGCAGCTGTCCTTTGACACGAGCAAAACTCTAACGCTTTTCCCTTTCTGCCATTAGAGCCAGTGCTTGGCCCGCTGTGCCACGTAGCCACCTAGTTTTTCTTTTTTTCATTGTTTGCATCTAGGAGTCAAGTTTTTCTTTTAAAACAAGTACAACATGGCTCATCTAAGTCTTTGTAATTTCTTTCTTACAGTTTATTTACTTTGTATCCTGATTGTAACCCTCTCTCCCTCATCTCCTCTGGGTCTCTCCCTACCTCCTTCTTCCCCATCTCCCTCCTCTAGCCCACTGAAAGGGAGAGTTCTTCTCCCCTACTATCTGACCCTAGCCTATCCAGGCTCATCAGGACTGCCTGGATCCTCTTCCTCTGTGGCCTGGGAAGGTCACCCCACCAGGGGAGGGTGATCAAAGACCGGGCAATCGAGTTCTTGTCAGACAAGCCCCTATTCCCCTTACTAGGAAACCCACATGGAGGATGAGCTGCCTATGGGCTATACATCTGAGCAGCCGGTCTAGGTCTTCTCTGTGCATGGTCCTTGATTGATGCATCAGTCTCTGCTGTCCCCCCTGGGCCCAGATTTTTTGGCTTTGTTGGTCTCCTTGTGAAACTCCTGTCCCCTCCGTGTCCTTTTATACCCGCCCCACCCCCCGTTTTCTCCCCTTCTTCCCTAAGACTTTCTGCTCTCTTCCCAGAGTTTGGCTGTGGGTCTCTATGTCTGCTTCAATTCCCTGCTGGGTGGAGTCTTTCAGAGGACATCTATGGCAGGCTCCCATCCTGTTCCCTCTCTTCTGCCGCTTCCGGTGTCTATCCTGTTTGCCTTCAAAAATGTGGAACGCTTCACAAATTTGTGTGTCAGCCTTGCGCTGGCCCCGTGTTGATCTTCTCTGTGTCGTTCCAGTTTTAGTCTATGTGCTGCCAAAGCGCGCACCATCTAAGTCTTAGTAATTAAAGTTTATCAGTTCAGTGGCACCTTCCTCCAGCAGAGTTTTAAGTAAGAAATACAAATAAAGTGTGTCACATTCTGAGATGTCAGATTTTGTTCCCCAGGCTATTTTTGATGCTGAGAGCCTTTACCATAGGATTATCCAGGGAGTGCTTCGGTAGCAGTGTTTGCATACAGAGCAGAAAGAAAACTGGAGAAGGAAGTCAAAAGGGCGGCAACGTCTTGTAGCATGTTCTTACCATGTAGGAACACTGGCCTGAGGCCCACACTCAGCGCTGCTGGAAGGTGTTAGAAATCCTCCCAGGAACCGCAGGGGCACACGCCAGACGACGCGCCTCCCTGCCACCCGCCAGGGGGCGGTCTTTAATCTCGTATGTCTTCTTCCTGGGTAGGGCTTGAGCTAGCTAGCTAGCTGCTCAGCGGCTCTAAGCCTGGACTCCCTCGTGATTAACGTAACCTTGTTTTTCTCCCTTATCGCCTTCTCAAGTGAATAGCACTGGAGTACAAATACGCTTATCTGCAGAGTCAATCAGCTCGTCCGGATGGCTATCTTCAGAGTTCACCGCTCCCATGACTCAGAACCTTATGGCTCTTGGAGCCAAAAAACAAAACAAAAAAAAAAAAAAAAAAAAAAAAAACCCTCCCGTCCCCACCCTTCTCAAATTGCTAAACATATACCTTCAGTTGAAGCTGTGTGTCGCAATGCAATGCATCATAACCCCAACAGCGGGAGAAGGTGCTTTACAACTTTGGGCTGGAAGGATGTCAGGGGATTCCATCTGCAAGGTGTGGCAGCCTGAACTTCACTGTCTTGGGCCTGAGGAGCAACAGATCACAACAGAGAGAGAAAAAAACGCTATAGATGAAAGCAAGTGCCCTTTACAGAAAAGCGTTTCCTCAGCTGTCGTTCACTGCATCCTTCCCTTCCAGCCCTCTAGGTTCAGAGACAAGCGTGTCTAACGCCAATTGTCCAAGCTTTCCCCGCCAAGTCATTGGTCAGAAGCTAACTGCTCACAAGACTCCCCATTCCTGCTGGAGGATGGTTTTCTTACCAAGCATTTGTTTCCTCTATGTTGCTTTCCTCCTCCGATGAAGGCCCGGTTTACTGATATGTTATTTGTTAGAACATCATACTTTAAAAAGCATTTGCCTGTCTGGGTGCTGTGGTACTGACCTATAATCCCAGAGGCCGGGGGACTAACACAAGTTTGGGGTCAGCCTGGTTTGTGTAGTGAGTTCTAAGCTAGCTAGGGCTTCACGATGTTATCCGAGATCCTGTCTCAACGAACTGGGCAATATAATTAAAAACAAACAAATGCTTGCTTTTGTTATCTTCACTGCAAGCAATGAGACTGATTGTAATGGACGTAGTGGGCACCTGAAAAGAGAACTTCAGAAGATGCTAAACGTTCTGCAAAGAGCCCTCAGCACTGTCTCCCCCCCCCCCCCCCCAGTATACTGAGCAGGGCTAGCCAAGATCTAGTTTAGGATTTGTGGACCAAAAAGCTTCCCCCAGCAGACTTGGGTAAACTAAGCTCTCAGAAACAGCAGTATACAAAGCCAAGAGCCCACTAATTAATTTACAGTAAGAATGCAGCCACTCTCTCCTGTGCTGAATGTCTCAGAATCCAAACTACAACCAGAAAGCTGGTTAACTCACTTAAAGTGAAAGAACTGAAATGTGCCAGATGTTCATGTCTGCCCCAAAACTCCTGACAGATAAACTGTGCAGGAAACCAAAATTTCAACCTCTTGGTAAGCGAGGAACCAGAGTAAGGGCATTTGCTGGTCCTCGTGTGTGTTTTCCAGTAAGCTGTGTGTCTTGCCATGAGCTGATAGCTGTGCTCAGGAAACTATATTACTTAAATCTATAAGCCAAGTCTTCTTCCTGCAGTAGGGTGAAACCTGGCAGTCTAACTCTTAATGTCCTGTGCTTCCATTTGCCATGGTCATTGTACAAAACACTGTATAAGCAAGAGAAAAATAACATAGTTTCTGCTTACTTTGCTGGGTTTGTTCCCAAATAAGCTTGATCAGAATTTTGCAGTTTAAAACTAGGTTCCCAGCACAGATGTCTAATTCAAGTTCTTAAGTATCGATTTTACTAGTTTAGCTCCTGAAAGTCTTGGGTTTGATGTTTTAAGCAGCACCGCACTTTCTATGTTTAAAAAGGCACCCTCTTCCCCCAACCCCTCCCCCCGCCCATGCCCGTGCTTTCTCTGTGCGTTTGATTTTCTCTGTGAGTGTGTCTCTCTGTGTGTCCCTCTGAGGGTGTCCTTATGAGTGTGTCTTTCTGTGAGTGCCTCTCTCTGTGTGTCACACACTGTAAAACAGAAACCTGGAGGAACTGACTGCTTGCCCCAAGATCCGAGAGATGGAAATTTGCAGCTCAGCTCAAATTCTACACTTCTGTTAGTGTATCATTAGTAACCTTCGTTATGAAGGAAGAAAAGGCAATGTAATTTGAAGAACTATCTTTTAACAATGTTAACTGATTTTTTTTTTCCTAAATAGAAGGTGTGAGGATGCGAGTCACTCAATGAAAGTCTACAGCTGAGAAGGCGAATAAAAGGATCAGACGATAGAGTCACCTACAGCAGGACCAGGCTGTCCAGACATAGAGAGCGTCGTGGCCTTGCCTGAGAGTAAGGATATACGTGTATGCTTTATTGCAGAGACTGAGTCCATCAGAGGCAAGGGGGAAAATCACCTATCAGGTGACCTTACAGGAAGTGATAAACAAAACTACCCTGCGGAACACTACAGAAGACACCTCCTGGACCGTGGTCATCCCCAGAACTGGCGCTTGGACGGCTTCTGTGTCTGCAACCAATTCAAAAGGCACTTCTGCACCCGCTCGTATTAGCATAGTGGACCTGTGTGGCGCTGGTAGGTACAGACTCACCTTAACGTGGCCTTTGGGAAACTGTCTCCCTTTTCCAATTAGACTAATGTTTACAGATTCAGTAATGATATTATATAGTTACAGTCTAGAAAAAAAACCATTTTAAACTTATATTTAAAACCCAAGAGTTTTAAAATAAAATTCTGACCTTAGTGAAATTTTATTCATTACAACATATATTTAACTATGTTTCCAATTGTCTTCCACCAAAAAAAAAATCCAACTTACATTTATAATCATATATTCAACAACTTTCTCCTCAAAGAAAAGCATGAATAGCTAAGAAAATGGATCTCATACTATGTTACACAGTCTGCATTATTTAAAAAAAAAAAAGTGTAAGCAGAATAAACCGCTATAATTGGACTCTTTCTTACAATTTGGTGTCATAATGCTATGTATACAAGTCTAGCAATCATCAGTTTGAAGAAATTTCTACCATAACATTATTTTTTTAAATATTTTTTTCTTCTCTCATACATTATATCACAACTGTAGTTTTCCTTCCCTCCGCTCCTCCCAGTTTTCCTCCATACTGCTCCCTTTTCCAGATCCATCCCTCCTCTGTTTTCCTTTAGAAAGGAGCAGGCCTCCCAGGGACATCAACCAAACTCTGCATAACAAGTTACAGGAAGACCAGGCACAAACCCTCATAGCAAGGCTGGACAAGGCAACCCGGTAGGAGGAAAAGGCTCCCAAGAGCAAGCAAAAGAGTCAGAGACAGCCTCAACTCCCACTGTTAGGAGTCCCACAAGAACACCGAACTACACAACCATAACATATGTTCAGAGGACCTAGGGCAGATCCATGCAGGTTCCACGACTGTCGCTTTAGGATCTTTGATCCCCTACGAGCCCTGCTTAGTTGATTCCGTGGTCCATGTGCTCATGGTGTCCTTGACCCCTCTGGCTCCTAAAATTCTTCCTCCCCCTCTTCCACATGGTTCCCCAAGCTCTGCTGAATGTCTGCCTGTGGGTCTTTGCCTCTGCTCTTATGAATCGCTGGACAAAGCCTCTCTGATAATGACTGGGGCTAGGACCCAATCTGTGAGTATGCAGAATCATTAGGAATCATTTCATTGACTTTTTTTGCCAGTAGTGATTGATTTTATTCTATAAAGATTTACTTCTTATTTTATGTATATAGGTCCTTTGCCTGCATGGATGCCTATATACATACAGTGCCTATGGAGGCCAGAAGAGGGGATCTGATCCCCTGGAACTGAAGTTACAGATGGTTGTGAGCCACCATATATGTTGGGAACCTAACATGGGTCCTTCGGAAGAGCAGTCAGTGCTCTTAACAGATCTGTCATCTCTCCAGGCCCCAAAACATTATTATTTTAGTTGTACCATTAAATCTTGGTTATATTTTTAAAACATTGATGAAAACAGCTAGAAGAAAAATACAAGTAGATGTGGGTATCACTGACTGAAGGCTTGACTACTGATGCTTATTTGCCCTGTCACATGAAGGAGGTTCACAGAGAGATAGCTCAGGGTAGTGACATCAGTACTCCAGGCTTCTCTCTTCCCCTTCACCAAAGCTGCATTCATCCTCAGGTGGAAATGGTCCCAAAGGCTGCCAGAGCTCTAGCTATTTCTTTGTAGGCAGCAGAACAGAGAAGAGGCACAATGGCATGGACCCTAGTGCACAGCAACTTTTCACTTGCGGCCCTCACCACTCAGCTGGGCGTACCCAGCTGCAATGGAGGCTCCGGAACCTATTCCCGGCAGCCACGTTCCCTTCCTAAACAAGACTGAAGTTGTTTGGTAGGCAGTGGGCAATCCCTTCCTCTTATAGAAGAAGCACCCAAAGCAGAAACATGAAGGAAAAGGTAGATTCTCTAACCATGGGGAAACACTTCCAAGTTCAGGCACTGTGAAATAATTTTATCTTAAAAGAACACCATAAGGTGTGATACTGCACACATCAAGAGGCTGAGGCAAGATGATTGCAAGCTTAGAAGCTAGCATAAGCTTTGTGGTGAGGTCCTGTCTCAAGAAGAAAGTGCAAGAGGAGTTTAAAAGGTAAATAATCTATGTACTTTTTTCTAAAGTACATGATATGTCAGGGCTGTGAACACACAATTAAAAAAAAAAAGAATGAGAGCTCAGCCTGTATAGCTCAGAAAGCACTTTTTAATATATACAGTGCCCTAAGGCTGATCTGCATGACGCCTCCCATTATGAAAGGAACACTAGAATGATGAAAATGATGACGATGTCTAACTTAACTAGCAATTAATGAGACGTCAGATTAACCGAGTGAGAAGAATGAGTGTGCTCCATATTTGTGAAAACTATTGTTGTGCTTTGTAGGTGTCTACATTGGTACAACTTTCTGAAAAGCAATTTGCAATACATTAAAAACACGAAATACAAACATACCTTTTGACCAGAGAATTTTACTATTCAATATTTCTTGTCAGCCCGGTGTGGTGGTCCCTGCCTGAAATCCCAGCACTTGGGAGGATGAAGCAGAAGGATTGCCGTGAGTTCAAGGCCAATCTGAGCTACATAGTGAATTCTAGACTATCCTGACTCTCAAAAATAAATAAATAAGAAGGAAGGAAGGAAGGAAGGAAGGAAGGAAGGAAGGAAGGAAGGAAGGAAGGAAGGAAGGAAGACAAGTGTACCCTCAGGAGATAATAGAATGAACGTTAGAAATGTAAATGCAGATGTTTGTTGAATAACAGCTTGAGGGCCGGTGAGAGGCTCTCGGCAGGTAAAGTGCTTGTCCCAAGCCTGACAGCCTAAGTCCAATCCCCAAGACCCACGAGGTGGAAGGGGAGAACTGACTCCCACCAATAGCGCTTTGACCTTCAGGCCCGTGCTGTTGTGCCTACACAGGTACAGCGCACACAAATAAATCAATAAAGATTATGTTTTTAATTTTTTTGAAGCAGTATAATACTATGGCTAACCTAAATGTTCAACAGAGAACAGACTATCAAATCCATCTGACCTCTGCCTGCCTTAATCACACACCAGCACGTCACTGATCGTTTGCAAGCAGCAAAACATCCTTTTAAAAGTATATATGATCCCAGCACTTGGGAGACAGAGGCAGGCAGAGCCTCGGGAGTTCGAAGCCAGCCTGGTCTACTTAGGGAACTCCAGACCATTCAGACATACATAGAGAAACTACACACACACACACACACACACACACACACACACACACACACACACAGTATATATTGAAAAATTCTATTTTAAATCTACATGTATATGAACAGGGGTTTCCCCCCTATAGTTAAAAATAAAGGGCCAAGCAGAACCCATGGCAATATTAACAGGGGTCATCTTTGCATCACAAGGATTATAGGTGATTTTTCTGCCTTTTGGTGGTTTGTTTCTTCCTTTAAATTTTTTCTTAAAGATGGTCATGGTGACATACACCTTTAATCCCAGAACTTGGGAGGCAGAAGCAGGCAGACTTCTAAGCCAACCTGATCTACAGAGTGAGTTCCAGAACAATTAGGGCTCCACAGAGAAACCCTGTCTAAGAAAAAAATAAATAAATAAATAAATATTTTCTTTCTTTCTTTCTTTCTTTCTTTCTTTCTTTCTTTCTTTCTTTCTTTCTTTCTTTCTTTCGTGTGTGTCTATGCCCACATCAGTGTGCACGTAGGTCAGAGGATAACATTTGGGAGTTGGTTCTCTCCTTCCACAGCAAGCATCTTACCTGCTGAGCCATACTCACAACCCCCTTTTGTTTTTTGTTTTTTTTTTTTTATATTCAATACATCTCTTCTGTGGATAAGTATCATGCACAGACCTTTAAAGATTTGTTTTTATTTTATTTGTATGTGTGTTTTGTCTATGTAAAACATACATATGTATGCATACCACAACTGGGCTTGGTGCCTATGGAGTCCCATACTCTGCCACTGGTGTTACAGATGGTTGTGAGTTGCCATGTCAGTGCTGGGAACCGAACCTGGCTCTTCTGCAAGAGGAGTAATTGCTCTTAACTGCTAAGCCATCTCTCTGGCTCCTGGACAGAGAATTTTTAAAGTGAATTTTGTGGTAGTATCGTACTGTTTTTAAGCGTAACACATCTAAGTCAGTCATGGCGGCTGGTGTAGGCCTGTCAGCCCAGCCCTCAGGAGACCAGGGCAGGAAGATCTGGAGAATGTCCAGAGCTACATAGCAATATCAACTACACACTGAGAGCCAACATCAAAATTTCAAAAACTGGTGATGAGGAAATCTCACCGTAAATAGCTCATCTCATAAGCCTGAGGACCTGAGTTCAATCTCCAGAACTGACATATAAAAATCCAGGCCTGTTTGACATGATGGTGTGTGCTTGTGATGCCAGCGCTGGGGAGGCAAAGATGTGTGGACCCCTGGGGCTTTCGTGGCAGCCAGCCTTGCCCACCTGGTGAATAGCAGGCCAGTGGGAGACTGTGTCAAAAGCAAAAGGGGGGTGAGACCTCAGGAACACCATCCAAGGCTGTTCTCAGGGAGACACACACCTGCGCAGTGCACACACTCACACACACAGATGAACATGTACACAATACATACCAACACACACATATGTATGCACATATAGATATACATATATTCCAGGAACTAGCGATGCATCTCAATTGTGGAGCATTTGCTTAACAAGGGGGTAGATCCAGGTAACAGACTGAGGAAGTCAGGACAGAACTTCAAGCAGGCAGAGGCTGTGGAAGAGTGCTTCTTATTGGCTTGCTCTTCATGGACTGCTCAGCCTGCATTCTTATAGCACCCCAAAACCCCTTGCCCAGGGGTGGCACAACCTACAATAGGCTGGACCCTCCCATATCAATCCATGAAATGCCCTACAGACTTGCCTACAGGTCAATCCTATGGAGGCATTTTCTCGATTAAGATTCCTTTTTCCCAGATGACACTACCTTGTGTCAAGTTGACGTAAAAACTGGCCAGCACAGATGTCAGAGACTGTGGCTCTGGAAGGTGACGTGACATCCAGAGTGGTGATGCAATACTCTGAAAATATCTCTTACATGCTAAGAGACTGGCACTTTGCAGCCAGAGTCGATAATACATCTTGAAGCCACTTAAGACTGCTAGCCTGCTATGCACTCCAACCATTTGTTTAATCTTCCTTTTACAAGAACAGTCTAACAACCAACTTTGCTTGCCCTAGATTTCCACATAATAAAGTTTTACCACCTAAGCTAATGCATAGGCATAATCTTAAATTATGTCCTTCTCCTTGCCCCTGACCCAGACAATGTATGTGTATCATTTGCTGAAAGCAGCAAACATAGAAGCTAAAAGCCACGTCCTAAAAATCTACAGTAAAGGTTGAAAGCAACCATGTATGGATACTGGTTGCTAAACAATAATGTTTACTCCATGTGTCATCTGGGATCAGTTAGAGCAGGGACTTGATTCCTTGTACAACTCTGTTAATGATTTCTAACTATCTCACTCTTTCCCATGTGATGCTTTCTGTGCTGTTCAATAAACACAGAGCGAAGCCCTTCGTGAGGGACAGACACACAGACACAATCAGACAGACACCTCTCACATATGCAGACACATACAGTACATACAGACACACAAAACTCATACAACAGAGACATATACAGCTTAAACAACAGACACACAGCACATTCAGAACAGAGGAACACATGGGGACAGACAGAGAAACAAATGCAGCCACAGATACAGGCTTATGCAAAAGACAGGACAGAAGACAGGGAGCTTGAAGTAGAGAATTCAAATCTGTTCTCACTCTTGGTTAAATGACACCAAGGGAAAGTGCTTTTCTTTCTCTCCTTAATTCAATACTGGCGTCTTATTGGTGACTCAAAGTGAATCAGTAACGAGAATAATCTGTGCAATCCAAGATCACACATCAGCAAACAACAGAGCAGAACAAAAGGGTAGGCTTTCTCTTAGGTAATACCTTACAAGCATCAGAACTCACGGGGAAGGACTCAGGAAACGCAGAGATAGAATATTTTGGTTGAAGCTGAGGAAGTAAATTTGTTTTGTGTTTGTTTTTTGAGACCCAGTCTCACTCTGTAGCCCCAGCTGTCCCCAAATTTGTAGATCTTCACCTGCCTCTGCCTCCTGAGTGCACCACCACGCCAGACAGAAAGGAGTGATTCTGAAATGTGACTGAGGGGAGGTTCACTTTTGGCAGGGTCCCAAAAGAGAAACTGTGGTCTGGTACACCCTAGAGAAGGAAGTTGCAGACTGGTGCCCACAAAGAGCAGTGACCCAGAGGCTAAAAGACTCTGAGGACTCAAGCTGATTTGTTCAGCAAATTCCAGATAAAGTAAAGATGAAAGGGGCTCTTTGCACATTTTATCACAACTTCAGAGAAAAGGTCTTGCAAATGGTAGCACTCAATATTTGTGGAATGAATAGATTATATGTGTATATACATATATATGTATATTATGTGTTTACATAGACATAGGCTCAGGCTGACAAGATGGCTCAACAGGAAAGGGCCTGGTGACTTGAGTGCTAGCCCTAGAGACCATATAGTGAACAGAGTGAATGAACTCCTTGGAAGGTGTTCTCTGACTTCCATATATATGCTTCAACACTTACATGAAAATATACACACATACAAAATAAAACACATAAAAAAAAAAAAGACAGCCAGTGCCATTACCTGCTAAGCCATCTTGCTGGCCCAGGAGAAAAATTGTCAAGCTTCACTAAAATAATAGCCATTTTTAAAGTTAGAGTTAACCTACCCCGCCAGGCACAAACCACTGTGTAATTGAACCCTGAACGCATGCGCAACCTTACTTCATTCAAGTTCTTGTAGAAAACAGAAAGCAAGGAGAGCTGTCCACGCTGCTTTATAGGATCAATGAGCTTTATTAATGAAAGCAAATAAAGTGGTATAGGAAATATTATTGTTTAAATCACTTCAAAATCTAAATGAATTATTAGCACTTTGAATCTCTATGTATATTAAAAATTAGTCCAACTTCCAGGCAAACATATACAGCATTGGAAAGTGATTTCTCTGTCCTAAAGTAAGTAAAAAGGAGACAAATGCAAAAGGCGACAATCCTCTTCCCCCCTCTCCCTTTCAGGTAGAAAAAAATGTCTATACAAGGGAAATGTCTTTTGTTGCCATTGCTAAGTGTGGTTGCTAAGTCTTTTGCTTTATACTTTCCTATTGTTCTTCAACTAAACACTAACCAACTTCACTCTTAGGGTCAGAAGTCACTTTTTTTTCCCAGCTAGTAATATTTCTATTTTTAATTGGAGGGCTAAATATTTTTTGTTTACACTTAAGAGCTTTCTGTTACTTTTACTAATGTATATTCATAGGTTTCACTATGACATTTTCATTTGTCTTCATATGTCATGCACTTTGATTACTCATTCTTCCCGTTACCCAGTTCTTTATGCCATCAAAGCAGTGAAACCCCAGGGAAGCCATGCCCCAGGATCAATAGGAAACACAAACATCTAAGCATTAGCAGGTGAGACGTGTTTGTGCAGTTTATAATGCAGAAGCACAGGCCCTGGAAAACATAAATGAAAATAGCATTTCCCTTTTTAAAAATTTACCCCTTTTAAGCTTACATTTGGACTAAGAACCTAAGCATAAAAGGCAAAACTAAAACCCAACAGGAGAGGATGTAGTTGAGTGTACTCATAGCCCCTATGTGGTGGAATTTTACAAACAAGGCTCAAATTCAAAACTGTGGTAAATTTACCAACACCTATACAGCTAACAAAGTTGCCAGAATACTGACTGACTGCATCAAGAGTTGAAAACTTTTCAGTAACTAGGATCATTACCTACCTGCCAATCAGAAGAAGGCAGGAGCACACAGAAAAATGAGCTAAGTCTACAAATACTCAGTCACAGAAGAAAAGTAAGTGAGAAGCTTGGCCTTATCAAAGCACAAACATGAAACCAAACCTCTAGTGACATAGCACTTTATACATGCCAAACTGATAAGCAGGAGAAAGTAAGGAAGTACACAGTGTAGGTGATGTGAGAATCCTCATGCTAGCTGCTCTTGGTGAAGTGTCAATGTGCTGTGTAATTTTATTACCTTTTGTATGTCAGTGCCCCTTGGATGCCAGGCGATGGCTGCATCTCCCTCCCGTCCATCTGTTTTAGACATCAGAGGATCTTCCCTAACCAAGCGGTCTTATTCATGTGCATCCAGAATGGTCTTTGTATGCACAAGGGGTGCTGCAGAGAATGGTCATTGTGTTCTTATGTCAGTCAGGACACTCCTGCTAGTCCCTGCAGGGCAGATGAAAAAAGGGCTCAGGCAATGAGCAAGCGATGAGCTAAGTGTACACAAAGGAGGAGAATGGTTCCATCCCAGACACAGAAAGCTAAGTAGGAAAGTTTGGGAAAACAAAGTGTTTTGTGGAAATACAACACACAAGCAAAGGGTTACACTGCTCTCCAGAGACAGTCATACATCCAAGCACATGGGGAGGCAGGGGCCTTAAAGGGTATAGATTGCATTTAGCACAGTAAACACTTTGAGGAAATGCAGTAACTGAATACAAAGAGGAAATAAATCCACGAAGAAAGCTACACAGGACTACAGTACAAGCTGCTGAGGCTAATCCTCCATGAACTGAAAAGCATAAACTTAAACCTTGACATGGAGGTCCCTAAAGAGTGACAGTTGCACCCTGAAACTTAGTTGAGATAAACTGTCATATATTTTTATCTTGTGTGTGTGTTCATGTATGAGCAGACATATGTGAGCACATGTAGCCACAGGATAACCTTGGGTGGATGTCATTCCTTAGGCACCATCTACCTTGTTTGTCTGTTTGTTTGTTTTTGAGGGGGGTGTTGCTGGGTTTTGTTTGTTTGCTTTTTAAAGAAAAAAACCAAGGTTTCTCTGGCCTGGAGCTCACTGGGTAGGCTAGGCTGGCTGAAGACCCACAGTGATCTCCCTGTCTCACCCTCCCCAGCACTGGGCTTACACTGTACCACCATGCCAACCATGCCATCCCAAGTGGCTACAGGGCCTGAACTCACATCCTCAAACACTTCACTGACAAGATGCCTCTCCAGTTCCTGTTTCCAACTTTATCCACTCTGATTTTGTCCTTCCTCTTCCTCGACCCTAAAGGGTTGCTGGCTCCCTACCAGGTCTCTTCAAAGTCTGAGAACAGGGACATCATGGTGACCTGGCAGCCCCCCAGGAAAGCCGCCTCTGCTGTTCGAGAGTACATAGTGGAATGGAGGCATCAAGGAGAGAGCAATAAGAAGTTTCCACAGTGGCTGCGGGTCCCCCATTACAACCACTCCAACCTGTCTGCTCTGATTTCAGGTAACTCACTGCTCATATTCCTTCTAGAGGACCACCAGGTTCCATTTGTTTAGTGTGCTGGCTAGTTTTACGTCAACTTGATACAAGTTAGAGTTATCTGAGAAGAGGGTATCACAGTAGAGAAAATGCCACCACAAGCTTGGACTGTAGGCAAGACAGTGGGGTATTTTCTTAATGATTGATGTGGGAGGGCCCAGCCCCAGGGGGCAGTGTCACCCCTGGGCAGGCGGTTCTGTGTGCTGTAAGAAAGCAGGCTGAGCAAGCTACAGTAAGCAGCATTTCTCCATGGTTTCTGTATCAGTTACTGCTTCCAGGATCCTAACATAAGTCCTGCCCTGACTTTCTGGGATGATAGACAATAAGCTATAAAATAGAATAAGCCCCTTCCTCTTTGTGTTGCTTTTGACCTTGGTAGAAACCCTAAGACATGTGGGGAGACTTCAGGCAGAGTTTTGCCTTCAGTTATAGAGGGCGACATGCTTACTGGCGCCTTTCAAGACAGCCCTGTAAGTCAGTGTGGTGCTGCACACATTTAATCCCAGCACTTGGGAGGCAGAGGCAGATGGATCTCTGTGAATCTGAGGCCAGACTAGTCTACAGAGTGAATTCCAGGACAGCTAGGGCTACATAGGGAGACCTTGAACAAAAACAAGAAGATTGCCCTCAGGACTAACTTGAGAACCAAATAACTAGGAAGTCTCATGTTTATGAAGAATTATGTCCCCTAGCGCCAACAAGATGAAAGAAAAATTGAACCAAAGTACAGCAGAGACGTGGCTAACTCATCAAACTAATTTTGTGCATTGAGTCATTATTCTAAACCCATCATACAAATGGCAAAACCAAGAGATCCTCGTTCCCAAACCTGCTATTTGTCATCTGTATTATAATAAATCTAGAACTATTATATAATGATTGGGATGTCTATTCCTAAGTAAGGTTTCTATTGGGGTTATAATCGAGTGAGAGAAAGTATCTGAAAACATATTAAAATGACTCGAGGGAACTTAGTGTCAGCTTAAGTGTGAGTTCAGAATGTCCTGAACAGTGCTTGGTGTATTTCAAGCACTGCAGATTTTAGCTAACAAGTGATTATTATTAAATGTGTCAGAAATAAGAATCAAAGAAACATGTTGGTGTATCCCAGCACCCAGGAAGCAGAGGCAGGCAGATCTCTGAGCTTGAGGCCAGACTGATCTACATAGCAAGTTCAAAACAGCCAGGGCTACACAGGGACACCCTGCCTAAAAACAAACAGAAAGAAAGAAAGAAAGAAAGAAAGAAAGAAAGAAAGAAAGAAAGAAAGAAAGAAAGAAAGAAAGAAAGAAAGAATCGGTTTTCAAGCTCTAAACTTTTTATTGTTGCTACAGGAAGAAAACCATTATACCTCTCTAGGGGGATGGATACAGCCTGCTCAGGATAAGGTCTGCTTGGATGAAAGCACCATATTACACAATAACATATGAGCTGGTCCTTGACTGTGTGCCTGCCCAGACTTCTCACAGGTTAAGATCTCCTTAATAACCCTTAAAGAGGAGGCTGCACATAGTGACCATCCAGAGAAAAAAGAGCAAGGCCCTGAGAGTGTAGAAGTTTTCATCTGGAATTCATTTAGCACACAGAAGAGAACTTTAGAAGGGATGAGACAGGCAGTTTGATTGTTGCTGGTTTCCGCATATATTACATGAGAAAGTGCGAGTGTTTCCTTGGTTGCTCCGGAGATCAAGATTCCAATCCTAAATGGAAATGGTAAGAAAGGAAGGCATCAGTTTTTGTTGTTGTTTGAGACAGAGTCTCACTCTAGTCCTGGCAAGCACAGAACTCACGTAGAGCCTCCTGCCTCTGCCTCCGCCTCCTGAGTGGTAGAATTGAAGGCATGTATTACAGTGGCTCCCAGCATCAATTTTGAGAGCAGCTTCATGACTTTCTCCTGGGATAGCTGGAGGCTTTGTAGTAGTACCAGCTTCCCTCAGGGGTTATCTACCCACCTAATTAAATGGAACATGGACAGGAAAAGCACTGACTAAACTGGGAGGGAATATCAAGATTCATCCCCATGGACAGTTGTGCCTTTCTTTTGTAAATCAGATAACTCTATAAAAACATCATAAGGTAGATGAACAGAATGCTCTTCCCATTTAGTAAAATTAAATATTCTGAATCACTTTTGAATTATGCATTTGAACAAAGCAACTTAATGAGGTTGTAAAATAACATATTAAGATTGTTCTGCTACTTGGAAATACTTGGTTTACTGTCACTTCCCACTGAACTGAAAAATTCACTAATTGCTACTTAGCACGAATTCAAATGTTATTCCAGTGCTGCTGGGCCCTTACAAGCTTTTCCTGACTCTGGCTGTATGGACAGTGTCAGATGTTCTGGAATGAGCCAGAGTAAACCAATTCCTGGCTGTGGTCAGGTGGACCTACAGAATATCAGTCTCGTACTGTCTGCCCACTGCATCTCTGTGCTGGGAAGCTTCTCCCCATGTCACAGGCTAGCTTCAGTGCCTACAGAATGACTCTCAGTTACATTATTCATGGAGGAGTTGCCTGCTTTCTCCCAAACCTGAAGTGAACCAAAATTTCTGCAGGGGTAGGAGTGAGTGGCATAGAGACAGGGAGCCGGGCATGGTGGTGCACACATGTAATCCCAGAACTGTGAGTTCGAGGCCAGCCTGAAAAGGAAAAATATCAGTGAAGATACAGTCACACATCTATCCTCTTTGACTAATGGCAGGCGATTCACAGAAAACAAAACAACAAACAAACAAACAAACAGCTTCTGATTAGTATAGTTTTGGCCTCACTCACATTTTGCTTTGAAAGGCTCATCAGGAACTCCCAGATCTCCACAGGGCACAATGGTTGGTTGCCTCCTCCCAAGACATGGGGCAGAAAAGCTAAACAAACACTGGAAACAGAGAGCCATTTGCCAGACCCTTCCAAAGGAAGTATAATTTCACATCCTTTGTTGACCTTCAGCCTGGATCCCATGGCCCTCTGCAGCTTCAGTTGGCAAGTGTTTTCTGCACATTACCTGGCTTATGAACTCAAGCCAGAGCCCATCCTCATGTGTAGCTACTCTTGTCAGGCTCTCTCCCACTATTGAGTGATTTCATGTAAAAAAACAAAACAAAATAAACACACACACATAATTTAGTCAATAATTGTGAGGTGAAATTCCTCTGTACCTCAAAAAGGCATTAAACCTATTCAATTATCAATGTGAGGGACCCAAGTAAGCCATCAGCAGGCACTAAGCACCTGCTGATACTAGAGTTAATGAGAGTCATCTCTCTCGTGCCTTTGAGATTTGGATTGAGAGGCTAGAGAGATAACTCCCAGAGGAGAGTTATCAGGCAGCTCACAATTGCCCATAACTCCAGCCTTGGGGGATCTGATGCCTTTTTCTGGCTTCCAGGGACACAGCAATCCACACCCACACCCTATCCTACAGATACACACAACTAAAAATAAAATGGGGAAAAAAATTGGATTTATTTAAAAAAACAAACAAACAGAAAAACAAGTTTTCTCCGTGTAACAGCCCTGGCTGTCCTGGAACTCACTTTGAAGACCAGGCTGACCTTGAACTCACGGAGATCTGCCTTTCTCTGCCTCAGGAGTGTTGAGATTAAAGGTGTGCACCACCACTGCATGGCAAGATTTGGAATTTTAAAAGGACATCCTGGGCAGCACTATGAGTTGGCCCTCACAGGCGGTAGATAGAAGCTCTGGGCAGAAAGAGGCACTTACTTTGAGGCTGAGAGGCAGCTGAGATCTAACTGGAGGGACCTGGTGAGCTGAGCGAGTAGAGGGCAGGCACCAGGGCTGCTGAAGATCCTGATAAACACTGAAGAACTGGGAAAGCCACTGGGGTGCCATGCTGCTCCATGGAAACAACAAATATTCATTTGCAGAAGCCCAACATTCCGTATGATTGTATTTGCATGTCTGTTTCAATCTTCACTGGAGCTTCTCAAAGGATTTTGGCTCCTTTTTAGGAACAATTACTCTGTTCTCTTAAAAGAAGGAACTAGGCATGGTAGTATAGTCTATGTCTGGATCCTGGGCCTAAGGATGCTAAGGCAGGAAAACTGCTATGAATTTGAAGTGAGTTTGGGCTGCATAGAAAGAATTTGTCACAAAAATAAATAGGTTTCTCGAAGTGGCACTTAGAGGCAGGCATCATGGAAATAAGATGCTGGGAAACTAACTTAGGCCATCCCTTTATTCTCAGCTCCTTAATCTTCAAACTAAGAAAAGCTAACACGGACTTGAATACAGGTATCAGCATGACTCCCTCTCCCTTTCAGAGAACATAGATCCCGACGTCTGTTATGAAATCAAGGTTCATGCGCTGTCAGAGGACCAAAGAGGGTGCAGCTCTATCTGGGGTGACAGCAGGCCCAAAGGTGAGCCTTGGCATCTTTCACTCAAGCTTCTCTTGTGTTTTAGATTTGAAAGGTGACAGAAACCTCTTGCTTCATTTTCCACAGCACCACTGAGTGGTCCTCATATCATTGCTGTTACAGAGAAAGAAGAAAGCATTTTTCTTTCCTGGACCCCCATCCCAGCCCAGGAGCAAATGGGCTGCATTCTCCACTACAGAATATACTGGAAAGAACGAGACTCTCCTGAGAAGCCTGTGCACTGTGGTATGTGTGAAAACCAAGCACCAGAGGGCCTCCTGTTTAGGTGTCAGGAAAGTACAAGTTTGGGTGTGTCTTCTCTACACACAAATGCTAGCACTAAGTCAACGCTTGTGAAATGAGTGGAGAAAAATAAAACACACATGCAAAGTTTTTGAGTAAGTGCTACATACTGTTAGTATGTGCTGTTAGTAAGTGCTGTTAGTAAGTGTTAGTATGTTACTGTTAGTAAGTGCTGTTAAAGATAGAGAAATGAAGTGAGTGGACCAGGCTCTCACAGTGCTTGCTCACAGGGAGACACAACACTAGGATGGCTAAGACAAGGACCGGTAGGCCTGAACCACACAGTGAGATACTGTCTCAAACCAAATGACAAACAGCAACACTTGTGCTTTTGTTAAACTGATAAACAAACATGTAAAGACAGGTAACATGTAAAAAGAAATCCAGTTTTGTAACCCAAAACTCATGTTCAGCATGAGTTTTTAAACAAATGAGAAATATGGAACTCAAGAAAGCTCAAAGTTATAATGGCGTTGAGGTTGCTGCTGGTAGTAGCACTTTATTTAATGAAACAAACAGCAGAGGCCCTTCAGAACTGGTAATGTTCATCCTTGAAGTTCAGGAACACATTTGAATAATTTTTAATTCTTCATATATGCAATTACTTACCATCATATTATTTTCTTCTTGGTATGGATAAACATTGCATGGTTTAAGTAATTCTTTATGATCTATAATTGTTCTATATTGAAAAAGCAAGAACAATTATAATAAATTCTGGCTGGAGCATTGTCTCAAATGTTTCATGAATCACTCATTCATCTAACTAGTCACATATGAGATCTGCTCTTCCGATCTTTGACCTAATCAAAGTTGTTTTGACTCTGTTTGTAGTGCTTCTTGGCTTGGATTTCTCTGTTTCATAACAGTTGGTTTCTTTCAGGAATATTTATCAGAAAGAAGGGGCATTTTCATTCCTTCATTGAAGTTACTGGCCCAAGAATGTAAGAAGGCCACTTGAGTGAAGCTCCAAAGCTTTGCCACAAGAGAACTTTTTTGCCTAGGAACCTTAAGAAGTTTGCCTTCTCTCTAGACCTTTCTCTTAGTTATGACTCTCAGTTAACTTTTGAAAATAGTTTTGAAAGAAAATAAAAGTTCTCAGGCTGCTCTGTGTATATTCATCCAGAAAAAGAAATTAATGCACAGGCAAAAAAAAATTGCTTGGGATCTTTTTCTATATGAATCTGTGCTTTCAATGATCTTTCCACATCGTCCCTGTAGAGTTGACTCATTCTTAATTAACAGCTCTGTAGACTTACCATCATCTGCTAGCTAATCTGTCACCAGGCCTGTCGGGGATAAGCCAGTTCTGAAAGGCCTCCTAAAGGATGGCAAATCAACTGGACTTTTCATGGGCTAAGTTCCTTCCTGTAATATTTGTGCCAGAAATGATTTTCCTTTCAGCAAAATTTAAAACAATGTCTTTTTACAACCATAAAGACCAATATGGTCAGTTGGTCTTTGTAGTTGTTGCTGTAGGTGCTGAAAATAACCTAGCATATTTTGTCACAGATCTGATGCATCTAGAACCTACACAAGGGTATTTCAAAATAAACTAAAAGGCAAGATTCACAGTCTGACTTTATACTAGTCTAGACTAAATTCCACCTTGCTCTAGATAGCCTTATTGGTGAGAGTAAGGCCCATTCTCTATCCTCAGAGCCTTCATTGTGCTGAGAGCTAGGGAAGTCTAAATAACCACTGCAGTAGAACTGTGCAACCAGAGAGCACTAAATTCAAGAGCTATTCTAGAGAGTGGGAAGGGTCAAGGAGAAACAAGATACCAGGGAATAAAAGAATCCGAATAGCAGAAGAAATGTTGCCTGTGTCAAGAGAAAGGGGCTCCACTTTGTTCGCTTGTTTTAGAAGCCCAGTCCCAGGGAGCAGTGCAAATGCACGTGGGAGTCTTAGTTCTTTGTCACAAGTTCAACCTGGGTAGGTGAGGTGAGGTGAAGAATTAGAGTACACCAGCATCTCAGTGCACACAGCCTGTTGTCTGGCTGTCTGGTGGCATAGCCATGTGTACTAGGGCTCCAACAGTAAGCCCTTCTGTAGGACACATGACACTGCCCAGCTGTTTTTGCCAACAAACTCGAAGGAGTCAAGGGCACAAGCTATGGCAATTCAGTCACCTCTCCTCTAGAACACAGCCAGAGAGATGGCAGGAGCACTTACTAAGCATGAGATTCATCGAATAACAAACAGTTGAATTCATTCCCAGGAACAGTCTGTTTGACCTTCATAGCCAGTGTTTAAGATGGTTGGCAGTGATTTCACCCTTCTAAATTCATTCCTTTATCACGGAACCACCTGAGTTTAAAGTTTCCATCTGTTGAGGCTTGGAGGGACCCAGAGGCAGCAGGACTGGTCTTTCCTGCTGGACCTCTCTCATTACACAACTCAGCCTGTTTTGCCAACAAAACTGCTGACTCCAGCACTCTCACCTCCCCACATCAGCTGCTATTTTTGTTCTTCAAACATGCATGTGCAAATGAACGTTACCAGCTCAGCAAACCATAGAAATCCCTTCCTTTCTACTTCAGTGTCTCATCTTGCTCCCCCAGCTCAGGACACTTCACACAATTGGACAGTTAGACACATTACTTCCTGCAAGATGAACAGAAGCTCTTCCTAAAATTCATTTTTTAACCCTGCTTTAGGAATAGGGATCATACAAATAACACACTTAATCATGTTACTTAAGTCTGTGTAAACAATTTCACCAGGCTATTGCGCACCTTGGGATTTTCCACAAGGTATTTTTTTCTCAACAGATTGTAAAATACAAGGGTTGTTCTGATACTCCCTATGAAATGATCTGCTCAGGCTTCACCTCTTTTCAGTGGGGCACAGGGGATATCCTGGGCTCCTTACTACCCACCCATAGTAGGATCAGCAGTGTGGACAAAGTCTGTTCTTTCTGAATTCTCTAAGGTGATGCTGTGTGTTCAGAGCAGCCAGCAACCATCTGTGACTATTCATGATCCATTTATGATGTCAGACACAGTGCTAAGTTCCAGTTTCCACCATTGTCCTGAACATAGGCACAGGCTGTCCGAACGAGCCAGCAGCCACTACTGTTTAAGTTCTGGCCTTGGAGATACTGGGTATGAAACCCAGGAGATTATACATGGTAGGCAAGTGCCTTAAACAGAGCTGTAGACTCCACCCCCTCTGCTTTGATTTCACAGCACTCTCTTGCTTGCCTCCAACACGCTGAGGTTACAGCCCTGGACCACCATACCCAGCATTCCTCCCCAGCATTGAAGGGTCACTCTGAAAGCAACCACCGACCACGCCAGGAGAAGACTGCCTGCTTCCGAAAGGCTACCAATACTCCCCTGTATTCTCTAGATGAGGAAACAGCATCAGTATGCCTTGCAGAGAAACTCGAAGAGTTCTCACAGTATAAAGAACTGCAGTCTGGGAGCCAAGAGGTTTCACCTCTGAACCACTGCTCTAGTTTTTCATGACTTTATGTCAAACTGAAGCCAGGCAGTGTAAGTTCAGAACAGAGCCTAACAAAAAGAAAACAGCAAAAGTACAATCTAAAAACATCGAGTAGGGGCTGGAGAGAATGTACAGCAGTTAAAAGCATGGGCTGCTCTTTCAGGGGATGCAGGTTCAATTCCCAGCATCCATATGGCAGCTCACGACTGTGTGTACCTCAAATTTCAGGGGATCTGGTGCCCTCTTCTGTCCTCTAAGGGTACCAGGCACATACTTGGTACACAGACATATATGAAGGCAAACCACCCATACACATAAAGTTAAATTAAATAAATTTTAAAATAAAAATATAAAAAACTTCAAGTAAATGTTTCATTAATTGCTAAACTTAGATTTTAAAAATTGTTATTTTAAAAATAATTTTACACCAATTTCCTCAGTAACTTGATAAATATGAGAAATACAGTCACAGGGGACAAAATAATTACTTTGGCTAAATAGTTTCAAAGGGAAAAATAACTATTCTCTCAGAACATGTTTATCACAGGAAAACTGGTTGCTGCACTAACATGGCCTCATAAATGACCACACCTATTGAAGTACTATATGAAAGAATATGTTTCTTTCTCAAATTAAATAATACATTAAAAATAAAAATAGGTGAGTACCCATATTCAATTCTTTTTCTTTCCACCACCATGTTTTTCTTTATCTTTTCAGAAATTCCGTACAGACATCCCCAAAACTCATATCCAATAAGCAGCCTGCAGCCCGGAGTGACATATGTTCTATGGATGACAGCTCTGACAGCTGCTGGTGAAAGTCCCCAAGGAAATGAAAGGGAATTTTGTCCACAGGGTAAGAAACTAAAGACAGCTGGTCAGCTGTGGCTCTGACATGGACACATTCCCATGGGACTTCCCTACGGGCACTTTACCCTGTAAGGCTTATACCCACCACCATATACACACTCCTCCCACACCTGAGGGCTGAGGGAGCCCTTGGAAGGCTGAAGCGCCTCTCAGAGTGTACAACTGGGCCCCATAGCGTCCTTCTCTAAGTTAAAAATGACTTGGTTTTGCTCCTAAACCCAACTACCAAGGCACTGTGGGCTAAGGTCCAGGCGCTTCACCAAAACCAGACTTTTGAAGTATTTACTGAAGATAACTCAGTAACAAGATTTGCTGACTTTCCAGGTAAAGCCAATTGGAAAGCATTCGTGGTAACAAGCATTTTCATCGCTATCATCATAGTGGGCATTTTCTCAATTCGTTACTTCCGGCAAAAGTGAGTTGGTTATACCTCCCAATTTAATACATGTAGTGTGTGTGTCTGTGTGATATATGCGTGTGGGAGCATGCATGCACAGGTATTAGAGGGCAGGGGAAGAGGTTATGCTCTCAGCCTTATTCCCTTTCAGTGTCCTTCACTGATGCTAAGGTAGACATTTTAGCTAGGCTGGTGGGGCAGCAGCTCCCAGGATTCCCCTGTCTCTTCCCGGCAACATTGGCTTTACAGGCACACATGGCTGGCTATACCTGGCTTTTATGTGGGTTCTAAAGAAGTGAAGTAGATCCTCATGCTTGCATAACAAATACTAGTACCCACTGAGCCATCTCCCCATTACTGCTTTGGGTCAGATGGATACATCACTGGTAGAAGAATACATTTATTCAACCCTTTTGTCTGAATGTGTCAAATTTTTAAAAGTTTACCTTTAGAGGAGAGGAGGCTTCAACAAGGATGTAAAGTGAAAAAAAAAAATTAAAGTTTTCCTTTAACTTTAAAATCCAAACAAATATATACAAAATAAATATATTATAGATGTGTGTATACAGTTTAAGGAAAATTTGCTTACTGAAATACTGTTAATAAGGAAAATACTTCAAGCAATCTAAATACTATATTCAGTGAGACTGGACTGGTACACCAAAACACCATATAAAAATAACATTTATCCATTAAAGATAATATTGAAGTTAATGTAGTGAGTATGCTATACTGGTTTTTAAATTTTGCAAGAGACAATATTTTTACATTTTGAAATAGCATGTCACATACACAGTTGAGGAGCAGGCAGTCTGGCTGCAACACCTGACGCCCACCAATCACCAGGGTGACTCGGCTCATCTGGCTAACTATTAGTAAGATCCCCAGGCATATGTCTTCTGCTTTGCTCCTCTATTCCCAGCATGTGCCACTCTACTGGTCACACATTTAGTTTAATGCTACTTGCTGAATTAATGCATGACTCGATTGTTGAAATTAAGTGAAGCAAAAATTCTTACATTTAGCTGCACCCCGACTTAACTGTCACTAGCCCAAAGAACTACAGCCTTGGATAATGCTTCTTTGACGGTTTGACTTTTACTCTTTCCATACGAAAGAACCCTCTCCCCTGAAAGAACTTTACCATGAGCCTGTATGTATGCCTGTGCCTTTGCACACACATTTAACCAAATGTCACTGTCTTCTTATTTATAGGACATTTGCTTTCCTTTCTGCTCTCAGACCTGCATGGTACAGCAGAACCATACCAGATCCAGCAAACAGCACCTGGGTAAAGAAGTATGCCAGTGTAGAGGTAAGGTGCAAAATCACATTGGCAGCAGCATAGTGCTTGTGATGTCCACATCAAAGAGCTAGCCCTAGGAACGAGATTCTGTAGGTGTGGAGCGTTGGTAAGGAGTCATAGTTTTCTTCTGAACTCAAGAGCAACCACACATGGTAACTCCTTAAGCCCATGAGCATAAAGCTTTACTCTTCCACAGGCTTTCAGGTATGTCCTCACTTTGACTTATTCTAAAACGAAGTAAGTGTTTTTACTGACTGATCAAAATTCAGGATAACTGAAGTTAACTTTCCCAATCTGGCTGGAGCACAGGAGAAGTAAAAACAACCATTGGTTTTGGGTTATGGAAGAGATGGACCAGCAGACCAGTGAGAGAGCAGAGGAAATTTACCACTGCTTATAGGAGAGAGCAAGAAAGGGTACCTCTGCAAGACGGTTGAAAGTTGTGGTAGCTGAAGAGCAGGCCTGGGAAAAAGCTACACACCAATCTTTCCTATTGCTATAGTCTGAGAGCGTCAAGATGCTTCTCCTGAATTACTTCTTTACGCTAGCCTCTGCTTAGAGGAACACGTCCTAGTCGTCTCTGCTTTAGGAAATTAAGTCACTAGAATTCAGGGTCTTCGGAGTTGCGTCTGGGGGACCCGCCTCTGCTGCTTTCCACATGTGTTCTGGAAAACTGGTCAAGTACTGAGCACCAAGTGCCATAAGATTGTATACTACAGTGAAGAGTAAAGAAGATAATACTATGTGAAGCAAATGCTTTTTTACTTTTTTGTTGCAGTTTTTGGTTTTGAGATAGGGTTTCATTCTGTAGCTCAGGTTGGCCTCAAACTCCTAAGTGCTTGGCCATCATCCACCATGTTCCCTCCTTTTCAGTTTCCAAGAACAACCATACTTGAAGACTTCTACTGACGGACTTGTTTCCATTAAGTTACAACAGCAAGAATAGTGACAATGACAGATGTATATTCACAATACACTACATATTATATACTTGTAAAGTACATAATTATATAGTGCATTATCATATTATATTTACATATAGCCTACATGTTATTTCCTATCTCGCAAACACTTTTAATCTCATGCACTGACAATTTATTGACAGCTGTAAGTCATACTATCATCCTCATTTTTCAGATGAAGAAAGGCCCAAATAACTTACCCAATACCGGTCAGTGATAAATGATGGATCCTAATTTCCAAGCAGAATATGAAGACATTACATCTCACAACAGACCTTTAAGCACAGGGTGTTTCTAGTGGCCCATACCTCTGAGCCAAACAGACTCATTAGGGAGGTGTCCACACACTAGCCCTCACTGGATGACACAATAATCTATGAAAATATACGAGGCACAAAGCCTTAGAAGATGCCTTACCGGTGTTAGAGAGGACTCAAGCATCTTGGGATTCAAGTGTCAGGATTTGAACTGAGCTTGACAGGCTAAGCCTAAAATACAGTGGGAAACAGCTCTGTGCTAGGTGAAAACACTAGTCTGCGGTGTAACCATGAATTCTGACCAGGAAATAGAGGCAGAGAGAGAGAGAGATGCCATGCCTGGATGAAATGCCAAGATGCCCAAAGGTTAGACAGTAAAAACAGCAACTGGCATGTAAACACATTCTCAAAGCCACACTGCAGAAGTACATTCATCGCAACGCAAGTACAAGTAAAACATGCATCAAGACACAGACCTATACATGCTGGAAGGTTTTTAACCCACTCATAAAGGGATGTGTGGGTTCATGTGTATAATCTCTGTCCTGGGGAGGTGAAAGCAGGACCAGTGTGGGCTATCATGAGATCTATCTCACAGAAGCCAATCAAAAGTTAGTAACAACTGCTTAATGTAGTGTTCATGGGTATGAGGGAAGATAATCTTTACAGAAGCTGGCCAAATACAGAAGCCCATTATGGTGGCTGCCTCTGGAGAAATTGAGAATCTGAACTACGTATTCTTGCTAGTTTGTAAAATTAATCAATGAGTTAAAAAAAATCATTAGGTAGCTTTCATGGGCTAGATGCCTCAATGGTTAAGAACAGGAGCTCTTGCTGAGGACTGTTTGCTGGGCTGTTACCAGCTGGCTCATGACCACCTCTAGGATCCAATGACCAATTCTGCCATCTGTAGGTACTTCATACACGTGGTACAGACATACACACAGGCAAAACATTCATATACACATATGGTTTGTGTAGCCCTGGCTGTCCTGGAACTTGCTCTATAGACCAGGCTGGCCTCAACCTCAGAAATCAGCCTGCCTCTGCCTCCCAAGTACTGGGAGTAAATGCATGCACCACCACCTAGCTCAAAATAAAATTTAACAATTTAGTTGATGCAGGTTTTGAGGCAGCCCTACAGCCCAGATGGTTTGATCTCTGAAGTACAAAGGTAGACTGTGCTGGGTAGTAGTCAGCATGCCCCACAAAGGCAGAACAGCTCACCTAGTGAAACAGCTTTTCCCATCCTGTTCATCTTTCCCGTGTGGTAGTCTTGCTTTGGCATAGCTGCCAAACATCAATGTTCCAAAACAGACCTACATGCCAGGGCCAGCTTGAAGATGATCAGAGAAGAGCTGACTTTAAAAAGAATGATGGAAGCCCTTTGTGGAACTTTGTTGACAGTGTCATCAACAAAGGTGGCTAATTATACCAAGACCATCTTGTGCAACTTGTCATTTAATAAATGAGAAAAACAAAGCAGAGGAGTATCAAAGCTGGGGTTCATCTCCAGAATTTCCCCAGACCCAGTTATGTCTTCAGATCCTCATGGGCACTCACTCTACTCACACTGCTAGTGGAATGCAAAGAATGGGAATGAATAGAAACATCAAGAGCCAGACAGGGTAATGTGTTGGCGATACTAACAGATGAAGTCGAAGTAAACCAGGAGATAGATACAGAAAGGGGCAGACTAGAGCTAAAATCATTTTTTAATAAGCATACATGTTAATGGCATGGAGCTCTACCTTAGGAAGCCCAGGCACAGAACAGTGTTAGGATTTAAGAACCCAAATTAAAGCCTAGTGGGAGAAATGTTCAAGTACCAAGGACTTGGATTTGGGAACCAGCAGTAAACTTAAGAGAAGTCATGATAGAGCTGAAGGATGGTGAGACAGTTAACAGAAAAATTAAGTAATAAATAAATAAATAATCAAAACTAGCCAGAGAAAAGATGAAAATCGCAAAAAAAAAAAAAAAAAAAAAAAAAAAAAGCTATTCAGTCTTTTAAAAAAATTCCAACCTGACAAGGACATTATCTTACCTGAAACCATTTAACTCCATCAAAGCATGCTTCAAAAGGGCCTTCATGGCATAATCTTTAATCCCAGCACTCAGGAGACAGAGATCCAAGATAGCCAGGGCTACATAGCACTGTCTTTAAAAAAGCCCTTCTGTTATTTCTAAATCCTGTGTTGTTTTCTTTTCCTAGTACTAACAGGTTGGAGATGTGATTCAATGGTAAAGCACTGCCTTAGCATACACAAGTCCTAGTTTGATTTTCAGCAATGAAGGGTAGGGGCAACAAACCAAAAGGCTTAAGAATACACCAATTTCCCTCTAGCACCTGCAACCTGGAAAACACTCCACCCCTCTCCAGACTCTGCTCTAGCCTTTTCTTTCCACCTCCATGGTCTTGCCTCCCCCCCCACCAAAGCAAGTGGTACAGCTCGATGCAGAGACTGACTGAAGGTTAGGCTGAGCACTAAGTAAATCTGTCCTTTGGAGAATGGCAGTGATTGGGGCGAAGGTGGATCTGGCCCTGGCCTTTCCAAAATGTAAAGGCCCACAGTTTCTCACCTGAGACTAAGGCAGGGCAGGGTGTGAGATTTTGGAAACCTGGAGAAGCAGGTTGTCCAAGTGACCTATGTATCCATTCTTCCTTCTCCCAGGAAAAGACCCAGCTACCTATGGACAGTCTCCTGATGACCTGGCACACTCCTGAAGAGCCTGAGCCCTTGATCATCAATGAGGTCCTTTATCAAATGATCCCAGTCATCAGAAAACCCTACTGCTCCAAAAGAGGACACGGGTTCCAAAGTTACTCTGCCTCCAAGGAAGACACAATATACATTGCCTCCAGTCCACAACCTACAGGAACTCTCAAAGCTGAGACAAGACAAATAGTGAATCTATACAAGGTGCTGGGAAGCAGGGACCCTGACTCAAAACTGGCCAGCCCCTTGACAATCACCCCAGTGGACTACCTTCCCAGTCATGAAGGCTATTTACCCTCCAACATAGAAGACCTCTCTCCCAATGAGGCTCCTCCAACTGATTCTTTCGATCTGGAACATCAACACATTCCTCTTTCCATTTTTGCATCAAGCACTCTCCGCCCACTCACCTTCTGTGGTGAGAGGCTGACTTTAGATAGGTTAAAGATGGGGTATGACTCCCCCATGACAAACAATGAGGCTTGACACCTAGAATGTCTGCACACCCCACTGGTACAATTACATCTATTTACCAAGTCCCTATTCAGTGGTCACCACTGTTAGTAGTACCAGGCCTGTCTGTAGCTTCAGGACAGTGCAGACAAGCCCGCTGTCTCTAGACTGTTAGCTTCACCATCGGGACATAAGTCTGTGGATAAGGACATAAAAGACACACATCAATACAGAAGGGCTGCCAAGATAGTCACACGCATTTGTGTAAGGCTCACAATTTCCCCAAGGTGTTTCATCTTTTAACTTCTGCAAACCAGTATCAGCTTGGGAAATTGCCTCTGTGCCCTTACTCCTTGTTTCCTCTTGTTACAGCATTTGCTGTCTTCAACACCAGCTATCTCTGGGTCTAAAACCTCAACCTACAATAATCCAGACCTTACTGTTTTGCTTCTTGTGGTATGAGGTAGATGATCTTTACAGCATCCTCTCCCTTACAGCACTGGCAAATTAAAGTGCCACTCTAACCTTACCAAATGACAGGATGAAATGTCCAAGATCATTCTTTCTTAAAATGCCAAGCCTGATTTTATCTCCACCCAGTAACACTGAGTGACTACTTCCGTGTTTGGTACTTTGTTAAATGAAAGCATCTATTGCAAATTTGCACTTCCTTTTCTATAATGTGTCCATATAACCCAGTCTTGTAAACTATTCTCAGTCTCTGCCAAAATTCATATGCAGCTCTAGAAATTGAAGCTATTTGGTCAGTTTTGTATAAATATTCTTGCTTCCTGTTATCACAGATTTCATCTCCAGTCCTTTTCAAAGTCTCAAGCTCTTTCCATTTCTATTTTACCCTACCTAACCACTGTCCAGTAGCCCCACAGATTTGACATTTTGTTGGCTAATTCAAGAGTTTTGGCACCTCTACATCAATCAAGTGCTCTTAGTTGACTGCCAGGACAAGGCTACCATATCTCAGCTGGCCAAACTATTACTTAGCAATGGTGAATTGCTGCTGTGCTGGTCTTGCTCACTTTCCTCTTCCCTCAAAGTCCTAAGTGATATTGAAGTCTTGTCAAGGTTTCACAACTCACTAAAGAATCCACGAGAGGGGGCTGGAGAAATGGCTCAGTGGTTAAGAGCAGTGGCTGCTCTTCCAGGACCCTGGTTCAATTCCCAGTACCCACATAGCAGCTCACAACTGTTAACTCTTTTTCAAAGGATGTGATGCCCTCACACATACATGCAGTCAATGTACATAAAACTAAATTTTAAAACAAAGAATTCTTCCATGCTGTCCCTAAGATTCCCACCCATCACTTAACAGTAGACTACAACCAGCTTGGCAAGATCTCCAGTGTAGTGTCTGATTTTCACCTGTCACTTCAGTTGGCCAATTCAGCTGGCTTCCTTCCTATTCCTATTCCCTATTCCATCACAAGCTTTACCCAAAAAACTACTGAAACACCTATTTAAAGGTACATTAAGCATGTCCCACTTTGCCTGATCTCTCAATGACTGTCAGAGGAACAGGTAACCTTTTCCTACTCTAAGTAAATTTTGCAGTTTCTTTTTTCCCCTTGACCTCTAGATAAAACTACAAATTAAGTTCTAGGTCTTTCATTCACAGTATTTTTCAATTTTAAAATATTCCATCAACTTAAATCTGCCTTTTAATAAAATTCCACAATTCCCTGTAACCTCAATACCATAGTATATACCACAAAAAACAAAAAAAAAAAACAAACAAAAAACAAAACTCATGGCAACCTCCTTGGTCTTTCATTTTGTCTGCAGGTATTGGGGTAGAATCCAGTGTTGTTCACTGGAAAAAAATATTCACTGAGCTGTGTTCAAAACTAGTTCAGGTAGGGATTGTTACTCTGTCTGACCCAGCCCAAAGTATCCCTTTCCCAAAAGGCAGGTTTTCTCTTAGCAGGCTAGTGGAGTGTCAAACTTAATCCCTCACCCCTTCTCTCTCCATCATTTTTTAGATCCCACTAATAGCTATACAACCTCAGCTCACCCATGTCCTAGACCAAGAAGAAACACCAATAGCTACTCCCTGTTTTCTCACTATAGTCTGTTCTTTTGAGTCACCTGAAAGTTGTCTGTCAGGTATCAAAGATTGAGCCCTTCTAAGGTTTATTTTCCTTCTCATGTTCACATTAAGCTTCTTTATTAAAAGCTTTACTTGAGAAGATAGAACATCTAGAGCAAAACACCTTCATTTAAAAGCTTAGAAAAGGCCTTCCTTTTCCAAAATAGAAAAGCAATTCAGACTGACAGCTCAGTGATAATACTAGCATATCACATACAAGAACTTAGGTTGGATTCCACAGAAGGGGTAAGGTGATGTTTCCAATCAGTGATAGAAACAATCAGTTCAAATTTACAGCTTACACCAAAATAAAATTCTAATAAACTATAAAAGACAAATAGCAAATGGGCTCCGTAATTGGGCATTTCACAATGATAACTATGCCTGTACATCAATGACACAATGTACATTAACACCCATTGCGGTCAAGTGTAATTAAGGAAATTCGAAAGTACTATCTAAATACTTTCACATGACAGCAGATTACACAAGTTAGCCAGTATTATTCAGGGAAACTGGCATTAGTGGACCCATTCTTAAAGGGCAGCTGGACAAAAAAATTCTAATAACCAAGTCAATTCTCTGCACAGCTAAAAGTAGCTTAATCTACTAAGAATGTGGGATCATTAAAATGGTGGTCCTCTGAAGACTATCTGTACAATAAAAATACTGCAATTAATAATGTACTCTAGCTGCATTATTTTTACTTCTAAAACAAAAACCTAATTAACTTGTACTGCTGCCACAGGTTTCTGTGCCATTTCCCTTTTAATGATGGTAAGAACAAAAGCCATGCATGGCCTTGTGCAGGTTAATGCTGTTAGCCTTTTACATTTTAATGTAACTAATTTAGGGTAGGGCATAAAACTGACTTAAAAAAAAGCATAATATGTAGATTTAGAGCCATTTGCTCTTGCCAAGTACACAGGCTGCACTCCCAACACCAACATGTTATTTGTCGATTAACTCCAGCTCCAGACCTGATACCCTCTTCTGGCCCCCACGGTCATGGCAAGCACAGCACACATACAAAATGAAAACAAGTCTTAGAATCCTGTAAAATCGGCCTTTGGGGTGGCCTCTGCCTTCTATACTAAAGTGAACACTTGGGACTGTCCGCGTCGGTTACTACTCCTGATACTAACTTCTGTATGTTATTTTAATTGGTATAAAAATATCATGACCAAAAGCAATGAGGGCCAAAAAGGGTTTATTTGGTTTACTTGTCCTAACCACAGACCACGTGGGAAACCAGGTCAGGAACTGAAGCAGAGACCAGAGAGAAACACTGCTTACTGGCTTGCTCTCACACTCCTCTTCCCAAGGCAACAAGGGAAAGTCTATCACAGCAATATTTGTCTTCTGGTAGAACCAATGTGTCTCTTCTGCTGTGATAAAGTCCTTACCAAGTCTACATTTACTTGAGAGTAAAGTATTTATTTGGTTTATTCTTTCCAATTACTGTCCATCCATCACTGAGGGAAGCCAGAAAAGGAACTTGGAGGCAAGAACTGAAGCAAGAAGCTGTTGACTGGTTTGTTCAGTTTAAAACAAAAACAAAAACAAAAACAAAAACAGGAATGGGGGGAGGGGAAGGCAGCACCTCCCCCTTTAAGTGGGGCCTTCCCACATTAATCATTAACCAAAAAATACCAGACTTGACTACAGGCCAACTTAATATAAGCAATTCCTTAATTAAAGCTCCCTCTTCCCAGACAACTCCACTTGTGTCAAGCTGACAAAACAAAAACCTACCCATTATACTGATGAACAAAATAAACCATTACTAACCCTCCCGCCCCCAAATGTGGAGAACTGGTTTTAAGGCAAGGCCTTGTTATGTAACAAGACTAGCCTTCAGCTTGTAACCTTAAATTCAGTACCACGAAGCCCAGCACTTAAGTCTTTAAACACTAAGAATAAACTTTCACCTCATAATTCTACCCAACTCACATACTTTATTTAAGCCAAAAAAGAGATGCCTTGGGCTGGAGAAGTGGCTCAGTAGTTAAGAGCACTCTTTGCTCTCCCAAAGGATCCCACATGGCAGCTCACAACTGTAACTCCAGTTCCAGGTGTTACACCTCACACCAATGCACATAAAATAAAATTAAATAAATTATAAAGAGATGCCTTAATATTGTGCCATAAGTTGTCAGTAAAAACTGTCTTTTCTTCACTCTATAGTGATTGTTATACTTGGTGGTTACTTTTTCAGAAAGTGGGCAACGATGAACACTACTAAGTGATTCTCATTAACTGTTCAAAAACCCTGAACATCAAGAATATTTAAACTAATTTTAAAATGCTATGAAAGTCTTTTAATCCCAGCACTCAAGAAGCTGTGGCCAGCCTGGTCTTGGTTTACAAAGCAAGTTCCCAGCCAGTATGTTTTTTAAAACTGTAAAACATCTACAAAACTACATATAAGCATGAAAAACTACGCTCATTATTCACTTGCTAATTTTCAGATTTAACCATCCCTTTCACTGAAATGTGGAACTCTACACTATTTCATTTAATAACAGAAGTTATAACTTTTATTCCATCATAAGAAAGACGACCATTTTTCCCCCTAAAACTGTAGTAAACAATGGTTTCCTCACACTGTAGAACTCAATTTGATTAGATTCTTTTCAATTCCTGTAAACAGAAAATTGCTGTTATCTCCTCTGCCTTCTCAGTAAGTGTTTAGCTGATAAGAGAAAGCATCTGTGCTATCCTGTAACTAGGAAATGCTGGTTAAGCTACTCAGTCAAGTTTACTAGCAACTTCCTTTATCTCTTACTTTTTAGAAATAGATGCTTATCACTATTAATTTTTTAAAAATCTAGATTCTTTCTGAGATAGTGACCAAGTGTTACTTGCTTTTACAGGCACAGTAAAATGCCAGGCACACACTAATAAACGCTAATAGTGTGCATTCACCATTCCAACTCCATGCTAAGAAACAATGGCCTGTGCGGGTTTCTCACCAGAAGAGTTGTCTAACTTTAGGTTAGATGTGAGCATTTAAGTAACCCTTTATGAATATATAAGGTTAAAAGGTCTATCAAGTTGAAGATAGTAGAAATTCTGAAATTCAGGAAAACATGCGAAAGAGCTGCAACACACAGTAGGAAACATCTCTCTCAGAAAATTCGGGATGTAGACCTGTTCAGCTTGTGATACTCAACAAAGCACTTTATAAATTAAAGTCAAATCCCACCAATTGCCCATCTCTAAAGATACAATGAACTTCAAAAGCATGTTCATGTATGCAATGGGAGAAAACTCACATATCTTCTTGAATCTATTTAGTCCCTGGCAAACCTCTAGCCAAATAAATTAACCTGGACCATTTTATGTGTATGAAAATAAATATTTCAAAGTAGGTAGTAGTATTAAATTTTAGAAATGACAACTGCAAATACAATTGACAGTGAAAACTAATTCAAACCAACATTATCTTGTTTTAAAATAGCAAAATCAGGGGCTAGAATTGTAATTCAAGCTCTAAGGGATCTAATAACCTCTTCTGAACTAAGCGGGAATCTGCACTTATAGGCTCAAAAACACAGACACACACACACTATCTTTTTAAAAAGCAACTGCTAAAAACCGCCTCTATGGTTTTTTATTATGGGCAAGTGGCTACCAGCTAGACACCTTAACCCACTTTGGGTTAAAGTGACAAGGATCGTTTTAAGAGTAGCATACTTAATGCATAGAGGCAAATAAATTTTTATTTTAAAGTAGCTCTTACTTTCGGCCTGGGATGACATCCTAGATCAGGGAACAGCAACAACAATCAGGGCACAGCTAGCAACACCTACTGCCACTTAGGAATGCAGCCACTTATTTATCCCAACAAAACCTGACAATTTCTGTTGAAGAATAATGCTTGGTGACAGAATGTGTGTCCAGGACACACAAATCCCTAGCACTTCAACCAAAAAATAATTATAATAATAAACAGAAACATCTGACGACTTGTTTTGCTAATGCAGATACTAAGGCGTAAGGTAATACTTTACTGTCTTGTTAGTAGACACATTCAAGGCATACTAGCAGTCTGGTTTCTGGATATGACATTCAGATTCCTTTAACATTTACATGTTAACTTCACAACAATTACAAAAGCTTGGGGTAGAATACTTTTCCTTTACTATGTTATAGCTCAGCAATTTGCTGAGCAAGGACCTGGATGGATACTGGGCACCAAGGTGGCCTTGGATGGGGGAAGCAAAACTGCAAGCATCACACGTATACAATACCAGTTAGCTCAAGGCCTGGCAGCCTGTCCAGATAACCCTACGTTATCTTACCTTTAAAGTCAACATCAACAAGATTCTTGCAGCTTCACATTTAAAATTTTTAATACCTGGTTTCTTCCACCTGCTCTAAAGACAGTTTTAAAAATTCAACACAAAATACTTACACTTCACTTGCAAACTCAGTATAACATTTTCTCTATTTCAGTCATCTCTAGTAATTATAAAAATAACAATCAGAAGGAATACGCAATAGTTTCTCTGCAAACCCATACCAAAAAATAAACCAAATACATTCACAACACTGAAAAGTATGTGTCTTGAACTGAATAAAATGAACTGTAGTACCTGCTGGTACATTTAAGATCTCTGAAGGGACTATACCCTCCCCCTTCACCCCAAGCTGGAAACATCCCAAATTTTCATCTGATACCGTTTACATTTAAAAACATTCAAGCAGTTATATTTGCTCTTGAAATTATTGTACTAACTTCCCCAACTTTGTCATTTGAAGATAGCTATTCCTCAAATACAGGACTCAGCAAGTTTATATAATAAAAACCTCACATGATATCTAAACATTCAAAAATCTTAAAAGTAGCATTATCTTGGGAGTGCAGACATCAGAAAAATGGAAGCCAAGAAGCATATAAAGGGGCTCCCATTTGGTTGCTTTTATCTTTGAGGAAATGAGCATGAAAATAAATTCTTATTTTTCAACAGAAAATTTACCATTAGCTCTTGACATAAAGTGACCCTGAAAAGAAATTCACAGGTATCATATAGAACTAATAAAACAACTTCTTCAAATTCAGCCTAGTTTGAAAGTAACAAATGTTACTTTGATAGTAACAAAATGTTGCTATGTTGTTTTCTTGTGACAGCTTATCAGTGAGTAAAACTTGTATTTCTAAGAGCAGGTGTTTTCTACATGTTGCTGGAAATCTGTACTTATAAAAGACGTTAATATTAAAAATGAATTAAGATACTCGAAAGATACTGACCTAAGGGTGCATATGCTACAAGTCTACATGGACTGATCCTTGCCTCTGAAAAGCAGGTAACTGAGCATGTGGAACGTCAGATATCAGCACTAGTAAGTACAGTCATGTGCAGCATAAGTCACCGGCACAAGTCTATTAGAAAAAAAACCCAAAACCTTCTCTCTGGCAACCAGATTAATAAATGTTATTAGATGAATAAATGTGCTATGTAACATCTTTTAGATGTGTACATAAAAACTAACCATCTAACTAGCAAATAAGACTTAAGATCTCCAAGCATTTTTATAATCACAACAAAAGTTTAAAAAAACTGACAACTGACAAGTCTTAAAACTTTGAATTAAACTCCTTTCCTGTTTAATCCATGTGAATAAAAATTCCTAGAAAAACCTTGTTTAAATCTTCTATGCACGTACTTTTAAATAAGCAGTGATGCTTCTGTTAAAAAAAAATTCATCAATTACCTAATTTTCTAATGAAGGAAATGGAAACTGATACTTTCTGTGTACTATTTATCTGTCAGCTCATGACCAAATCGTAACATACAGGAAGTTCATAAACGAGACACTTGCTTCATATTTTATGGATAGTGATGCAGTTCCAAACTAAAAGCAAAGCTGACTGTGAATACTAAAGTTCAGATACTTTTCTATCTCAGCACACTAACCAATGAGTGCCCTTTGGTTTTTATAAAACAAGAATAAAGATTGATTATGGATAATCATTTTGATTTAGGGCCCTTTCATACAGATACCAAATGCTCATTCTTATTTTATATAAATTTAACTATTAGGCACTAACCAAACTAACTTACACCTCCCACTTTTTCATGGGAAGATAGAACCCACACCCACAAAACTATTTTACTAGACACAGGCTGTATCTATCAACAATTAGTAGCTTAGAAATTCCAAAAGCACTGTTTAGTTTTACTTTTAAAATGAGGAAACCACACATTTTAAAAGTAAATATAGATGAATCAGGTATAATTTGAACCTAATAAACCATGCATGAGCCAAAAGTTAATAAACCAATGTGTTTTGAATTTGTTCAAGTACTGACATTTCTGTATAAAGATTTAGTATATATCAGCTATCATAAGAGGTGGAAAGAAAATGTCAACTCCCAAATGAAAATAGTTAAAATACACAGTGGTTAGTATTCCACACAGCATAAAATCTGGTAAATCAGAAGTTTACATGTCCCAGCTGACCATGTGTGAAAATGCAAAGCAGGTATTAAAACCAGTATTATGTCCAATATTTAAAACCAGCTTGTAATAAAAGGAACATCTAAATCCTTATTAAAAAACACAAATGAAGTGAAAGCTTTAAACTGGTACACACTGTTCACACCTATATTTCAAGTTTGGAAATGCATATTTGCAAGCAGCAATACAAAAGTATTCATGAAGAATGCATAATCTCTGAAAATTATGAAAACATCCCTGCTACCAATACATTTCTAAATACAAAACTGACTAACATATTTGTTACTTCTGTGTAGCTAGAGAAGTTCGTTTTCAAAACAGATAAAATTCAGTCTTTAGGTGTGAATGGTATGAATGACAGTCTTTTTTTTTTTTTAATTCTTAGTTGTTTGGGATCCTTAAGCATGCAAAGCTTTGAACAGGAGGGTCCACAAAGGAACCAGTGTTGTATTATGGCATCCAGTTAGGCCAGAGCTGGGAATGCCTCTGGGTCATCTACATCAGGAGCAGAAGCACTTGACTGGGGAGGGAAAAGAAAAAAAAAAAAAAAGAAATTAACCACAATTCTCCAATCTCAAAATTTTCTGTATTTAGACACTGAAATCTAAAAACAAAACAACCAAACTTTGTGTTAAAACACTACATAAAAGACCTCTGCTTTTACTTTAAACAAAAGTATAAATCAGAAGAAAACTACTAGGAATTATATGCAGGCCTTGTATGTGCTCGGTCAAGTGCTCTACCAGTGATCCGTTTCCTGACCCCCTCTTCAGACAAGATTTTGCCACTTGTAGCCTAGGTCATCCTCAAACTCATAATCTGCTCCATCTCCCAACTGCCGGGATTATGGGTATGTGCTACCACATCAGGTCTACTCACGACTTCGTATCCACATGCAACATGTGGGTTCACTTTGTTACTAATTTTATACTTTTCACTTTGCAACATTAAGAGTGTTATCAATAGAAAAAAAGCAGGTTTAGAAATCAGTACGCAATCATTTAATTAGTACATTCAATGTTAAAAAAAATCTTATATTTGGGGGCCACCACAACATGAGGACTGTATTAAAGGGCTGCAGCACTGGGGACGTCGAGAGAGAAGCACTGAGGTAAGATAACTTAAAAAACAATTACTAAGCCAGGTGTGGTGGTTCAGGTCTTTAATCCTAGCACTTAGAGGGCAGAGGCCAGCCTGGTCTACATAATGAAGAGTTCCAGGACAGACTGATTACAAGTGAGTCACAGACTCAAAACACAAACAAACAAAATCAAAAAGCCACAAAAAAAACCTAAGCACAAAAAGTCAAACAGTGGGAATTCACCATTTATTTCAAACTGAACAGTAACCTTTATACTTTGTCAACAGGCAATTGTGAATTCAAAATTAACTCCTTGGGCATCAAAAATCTCATTAAAAACTGTTTTAGAGTAGAACAAAAATACCACTGAATTACACCTTTTGTTGTTGTTTTTCAAGACAGGGTTTCTCTGTATAGCCCTTGTTGTTCTGAAATTTTGCTAACAGGTTGCTCTCTAACAAAGAGATCTGCCTGCCTCTGCCTCCTAGGACTGAAGGCATGCACCGCCGCCACCAGCATGAATCCCACTCTTAAATCATGGCATAGACTAGTGTTTTCTGGGAAACTTCTGCAATCCTAAGATTGTTCTATAACTAGATTTACTTGGCAGTGAGGATACACCTAGGGTTAAAAAAAAAATTATACCAGCACACCAAGTGTTAACACAGGACCCTGACTCAATAGTATGGTTAATTCACCTTTCTGGCAGTATTACTCTAAGCATTAAGGTACTTAAAAAAGAACCAAGGCCAAGTATGGTAGCACATGCATTTAATCCCAACATTCACAGTCAGAGGCAGGAAGACCTGAGTTCAAAGACAACCAGGTCTACATAGTGAGTTCCAGGACAACTAAAGCTGCACAGTGAAATCCTGTCTTAAATATTGTTTCTTGAAAATAGTTTATTTTATTTTTTATCCCCCACCCTCCAAAATCTAGCCAGGAATCACTTTCAAGTCCTAAATTGCTTAAAATAGAAAAGGCATCTTAAAATCACCTTATCAGTCCTGCTGCCACGGTTTGAACGACCACCACGGCCACGGCCACCACGTCCTCCCCTGCCACCACGTCCTGGGCGGCCTAGGTCTCCGAAATTGATCTCCAGTTGAGACGTTATATCATTTGCTGGCTTCCGGAAATGATGGTCCATAACTGAATCTTCAGCATGAGCCTAAAATGTTAAATGAAGGCCCTTGGGTAATTAATATAAAAGTAATAGTGCAGAATTTCTAAATGTGCTCTCTCCCCTAAAAGACCAATTATCAATCCTGTATTTTTGTGAATAAAAATATACCCATTATCTAACTCTACAAATAAGCTCATTTGGGTGTTTAAGTAGTAACCTTGAAGAATGAATTTTCTTTAACTTTCCTTTAATCACAATTTCTCTGAATTGTAGGTGATACCAGTATATTAATGGCACATAAGACAAGTTTTACTCTAGTCCTCAATCTTCAGCACTGAATCTATGTGACATTTAAAATAGGCCCTTCAAATTGGGATTCCAATGTGAATCCCTGATGATGTTTGGATAGAAAGCACATACAGTTTCTATTAGTGATAAACCAGAAGATTTTATTTTAAAAATATTCTATCAAAGTAGAACCTCCTACCCAAGGCTGAATGTACACAGGACTTAAGTTTTGTGGTTATATACAATTACTGGTTGAGCAAGCATGAATACCTCAAATACCAATTTTTTTTTACATACCGCGATTTTCAAATTAGGAATACTGAGCAAATATTCTAAAACTCTGAAACATGTTTGGTTTCAAGCGACAAGGGTTACTCATCCTTCATTGTTCCCCCACATAAATTGCCAACTTGAAGTCAAACAATATAAACTTTACATAAGAGACCCTTGAAACTATAAATAAATCTACTAAAGACTTTACCAATAAATGAAGTATTACAAAACTAGAATCTTTCTTTATATATAAGCTATATGTCTCAGAATGGAAAAAAAAAAACAAAAACAAAAACAAACTCAGTATCACCTAATGCCTGATTTTTATATATTCTACATGAATTTAGTTTTAATCTTTGGGTGAAAAGTTTACACTAATCAAAGTTGATGTTTTCTTATTAATACACATAAAATCTATTTTTGAAGGGTAATGAATACCCTATTCTTTCTAGCTACCTGAGATATCAGCTGTTATTACTTTAAAACACAAATGAACATTTTGTTTACATTCATGTCTGTACACTAATATCCAAATTAAATTCCATTTCTTAAATTTTAAGGAAACCTAAAAATGACAAATATAAATTACAAAGGAACTAGGTAAATTAAAAATCATTTTTATAGCTTGTCTTTTTATCTCGGTTTAAATAAATGTTTTGTATTTCAAACCATTGATATCATTTACTAAATTTCTAGAGCATAGAAGCAAAACAAGCTCAATTATATACATCTGAACCTGGATGGGTTTATTACAAAGAAGTTTTGTTGCTCAGGGCACATTCCTAACTTTTAGGTTGGCTTCTAGAATGCGAAGACACAAAACATATAAACCCATTCACTCATCTTTCCAGAGCACCTAGCATGTGAACTTGCTCTGCTCTCTGTCGGCACAATGATTTAGTTTATCATTCCCCAAAGCTCATTTCTTTCATCTTAGAAGCACCCCATTATTTGTCATATAGGTCGTGCAAGTGTTAAATAAACCAGTAAGCCCATATTTAAACAAGTATTCACATCACAGAGGCAAAAATAAATGCATGAACCCAAAGTGCTTGATAAATAAGAACATAGTTTCATTTTTTTCAAAACCAATTATGTGTATTTTAATTTTCAAAAATTGTTAATCATGTCTTCTTACTTTGTATAATAAAGCAGTCCCCTATTTAGAAAATATAAAATATAGGACTGAAACCAAGTACCAAACCCTGCACTATATGAGGTATTAGGTAACTAATGGGCGAGTAGAACACACAATGGAGATAATAGTTGTAAATAAATGACTCACACCCTCAGACAGTGCAGAAAAATGCTAAGCCTCTACTATACTGTTCAGAATTGCATGCAATCTAAAATTACGAATTTCTACAATTTTCTATTTAGTATTTTTTGGAACTCAGTTAATTTCAGGTTAGCTAAAAACAAAAGAAAAAAAAATCATACATAGACAGGACTACTGTAGTTTTCTGAAAAGTTCAGAGTAAAATATTTCAAATTGGCACACATCTTAATACATTGGTGAATTACCTAATATTACAACTACATTTTTCATGTTAACACAGATTGTCATTTTAAATAGAAAGTTCTACATTAAAATTTTCATAGTTCAATCAGGATTTCCATCTATACTGTTCTACTCATACAACCCTAACAATTTTATCTGCAAGAATTGGGATACGAAAAATTCTAATGAATCAAAATGTGCTTCTAAAAACCTGATATTTAAGACAATTTCCTCATTCATATTTTATGGAATAAATGTTAAAAAACATTCCTTCTCTAAAACCAACTCAATTCCATTAAACAATGTTTCTTATATTGTCCTCAGTCATTTCTATGTCCAGCAAACCAAACTGCATTAAGAGCTACAAGTTATGACTCAATGGCAGAACAGAAAAAGTGCTTTTTACCATGTTCAAATCCCTGGGTTCAATCTCCAAATAGCAAAAATAAGTGGATAAACAAAATTTTATTAAATCTTGTAAATTACAGGTTGCCTTCCTTAACATTTAACTTTACCTTGGGCTGACAGAATCTGACATGAATAAATGTATGTATCAAAAAGGCAGCAAAAGCTGCTAGAGAAAAATAAATTATATCTGAAATAATGTGTTCGGCTAGGTTCATATTTACATAAGCCTTAACCACCAACATGACTTTCTCAAATTTAACAAGTTTCCATGTTTCTTAGATAAAAATTTTAATTAGCCTTTAGAAGACATCATTCCATAATAAAGAAAAACACTAAATATTGTGAATATTTTTTCTTTCTGAGCAAGTTATCTACATCAAATAAGCCTAAAATAAACCTTAAAAGTTATCTGTATTGGCTGAGCAGAGATGGTACATGTCTTTAATCCCAGCACTTGGGAGGCAGAAGTAGGTAGGTCTGAATTCAAAACCAGAGCAAGTTCCAGGGCAGCCAGAGCTACAAAGAAAAACCCTATCTTGAAAAAGCAAGTTACCCATATGAAAATTAAAACAAAAGTTATGATTTAAGCCACATCTGAACCAATTTAAACAATTTTAACTTTACCTCTTCACTTTTTGATTTATGCAGAACAAATCCCTTTTTCCATTGTCCATCAGCACCTTCATTTGGTTTTCGGATATTAAATTCTACTTTTGCTCGGTCTTTATTTTGAATAGCTTTCCATTCATCCAAAGTCATCTCTTTTGGACCCTCTTCCTTAACCTCTTCAACTTCGTTCTCCCTGTTAAACAGATATTTAAATTTTATGTCTGATACTAATTTGTAGAAAAAAATTGGGGGGCGGGGGGGAGTGTAGAGATAGCTCAGAGGTTAAGGGCACACACTGACTTGGCTACTCTTCCAGAGAACTGCGGTGCAGTTCCCAACACATAGATTAGCTCACTATTCCCTGTAACTCCAGCTCGAGACCCAGAGCTTATGAACTCCCTAGGAAGACAAGCAAACGGTACATACACATATATGTAAGCAAAACGCCCATTTACATAAAACAGAAAAAGTTTAAGTATATATGTATTTCAGATTACAAGAAGGATATTGACTCTGCTGGTACCGTTAGCAAGACTCCAGGAGGAACCACGGCTTTCTTGTAAGTCAGATCACCATGCAGCGCGGTGGAGACCAGCCCACTGCACACGGATTTGTGATTACAGATTATCTTACAACTTGCTTTCTCCAGGAATACTAACCTTGAACAATATTAACCCATTAATACACATTTCTTTGAAACTATAAACTGTGTCCTCTTGTATAATTAGTTTGTCTACTTTCTCCTAAAACAGTGTATGCAGTGCACGCAAAGGCAAATGTTGGTGTTTTGCCTAAGAATTCTCTGCTTTATTTTTCAAGACTGATCTTTCCTTGAACCCAAAGCTCACCAACTAGCTAGGCTGGCTGGCCCATGAGCTCAAAAAACTCTTACCAAACCCCAATAGGAGGTAAGGATGGTCAGACGTGCACGCACCCATGCCTGGCTTTATGTGGGTGTTAGAGAGGTCTTAAAGCTTGAGCAGCAGATGCTTTACTGACTAAACCATCCCTGCCCCACCATTTTCATTTCATATAAAAGCCTAATTTCCACCAATCTGCCTCTAACTCTCAAACTAACCAACCTCTAACATATGGACAGGAGACTGAGGCTTCACCAGTAATGGGACTGTCCACAAAACAAATTTCAGTATTAATACCAAAATTGTTATTTCCCAACATAAACCCCAGGTTTTAACTATTTTAATTATCTGTTCCCCTCTCAATATAAAGTACAGGCCTAAGAATCCATTATCTTAGACTAATTCCAAATACCAGCAAACATTTGGAAAATGAAAGAAAGCAAGTGTTTTAGTTTAGCATCATTGCTAAACTACCTTTATGTAGTTTTTTTGTATTTGGACAGATTCTATCTTATAACATCCTGGAGCAAATTTACAACATTTTACAGATAGAACTAAAGCTTTGCAACAGTCCTAGTGATTCACCAATTCTGACAGTGATATCTACCTTTAAAGACTATTGGAAGTTTTGCTTCTAAAACTTGAATCCTTAGAATAAGAGACTACATTCAGTTTCCCCCCCTTCTTTACTAAGAGACTTCTCTGAAGTGGTAGGCATTATCTTCATTAGAACAATTACTCCACACTGGCCCCAAATTGATATCTACCTGCCCCTACCTTCCAAAGGCTAGAATTAAAGCTATGCTCCACCACCACCCAACATAATATAAATTCTCACGTAGGTATTCCCATTTACTTTTATACATCCTGGCAATTGTTCTCTTTATTCCAACAAGCCCAAGAAATACAATGCTTCCTATCATTAAGACTTGCTCACCGACGGGAAGTTTTGGCACATGCCTTTAATACCGGTACTTGGGAGGCAGAGGCAGGTAGAACTCTATGAGTTTGAGGCCAGACTGTTCTACAGAGTGCACTCCAGGCTACACAGAGAAACCCTGTCTCGAAAAGCCAAGACTTGCTCACCAAAATAGCACTTTATTTCTTACTTTTCCTTTTTTTTTTTAAATGTAGCCTCAGAGGGTCTCAAACTTTCTATGTAACTAAGACTAGCCTTGCACTGCTGATCAGCCTGCATCCACCTTCTAATGCTCTAATTATGACCTTTGGTCACCATGCCCCACCAGAGCTTTCTTGGGGGAAAGTAAGTTTAGAAGGAAGACTCCCTTCTGTGACCGGTCTGATGTGGCCTGACATTCACTATCCGATAGGAAGTGGCAGGTCCAGCAGTTCCAAGCAACAAAACAGAAAACCTAAAAATGAATCCATATATTCACAGCCAATTTATTATGTTCCATAAGAACACACACTAGAGGACAGTCTCTTCAATAAATGATACTAGGAAACCGTTCCCTAGACTTTTTTAAATGCCCTATACAAAACAAACTTATCAGTTAAAAAATTTAAATGGATTGAATGGGTAGTGGTAGCACATGCCTTCAACCCCAGCACTAGAGACGAGAAAGCAGATCTTGTGAACTGAAGCAGCCTGGTCTGTTTTGAGTTCTAGTCCAGCACCACAAATAGTGAGTTTGTCTCAAAAACCGAACAGGACTTGGGAAATGGTTCAACAGAAAATGTGTTGCCCATTCACCAACAAGTAATATATAAGTAACAAATGCAAACAGCTCATCAACAACAAAAACCAATCTGACGAAAAAAATGAATAAATGAGGGCAGGCCAGCACTTGGGAGGCATAGCTGCTGGTTCAAGGCCAGCCTGGTCTACAAAGCCAGGACTGTTAACACAGAAAAAAACCCTATCTGGAAAAAACAAAAAACAAAAAAAAAAAAAAAACAAGATAGAGTGGTTGTGTTTTAATTTAAAGCCTCAAAAACAAAAAAACAAAAAACAAAACATCCTTAGCACAGGGCTAAGGATATGGCTCAGATGGCAGTGCATACCCAGCACCTATGAGGTCCTGAAGTGAGAGTCCTAGCAATGCAAACAAACACGACTGGGCACACCTGTAGTCCCTGCACTTGGAAAGGTCATATTTAAGCGAAATGATCCTTCATTACATAGTTCAAGGGCAGTTAGAGCTACGTGAGAACCTGACTAAAAAACAAACACCATCAAAATCAGTGAGATCATCTCATCCTAGTCATAATGGCTAGCAACAGAGAGAGAAATAAATACTGGTGAGGGTGCAGAAAAAAACCCTCTCAAACAATATCAGAAATGCACATCAATACACCACAATATAGAAAGATAATAAAACTCTAGAAATAGATGTAACAATTTCACCATTTGAAATATATTGTGTTGAGCTTAAACTTTTCCTGGATAGACACGAGTAAACATTTATTCACTCCAGCTCAAGCACATACAAAAGCTAAAGAAATTATCCCACCTGTGTGGTGGCTATTTTTAAGTGTACGGGCGAGGATTTACTTATAGGAACACAGGAAACTTATGAGTAGTAACCCCCCCACACACACACCTTGGCCACCACCCCTTAGCAGTCATTAATGGCTTACATGTACTCAGAGAAGGAAGGGTGCTGAGCCCACCTGGCAAGCCCCACTTGAACCAATCAGTTAGTTTAATAGACACTGCTGATTTCAAGACAGTAATGCGCATGTCATGCCCCGTAGATTTAGTTTCCCAACATATCCAAAGGAAGTAAAATCAGTATGCCTAAAATACACCCACAGCCCGCCGCTTACTATAGTCCAGAGATCCAGCGCCCTCTCCTGGCCTCTGTAGACACTGCACAAATGCAGTGCACTCAACACATACACGCACACACATCAACATTTTAAAAGACTGCTAATGGGCTAAAAACACCATCACTGCTTTTCATGGTTTCAAAAAGTGGGCTGTTCGAAATTCACATAAAAAAACTTAAAAGAACTGGACCAAATTTTTGCCAAGTCTTTTTTCAAGTTGTCTAGTTTTTGTATTTATAACTGGAAATGTTGAGATTGCTCTGAAGTATGGCTAAACACTAAAAATACCTCTTGGTTCAGTTTTTAATTCATCCCACCTATTCAGAATAGCACAGCTATCACTCGAATTAACCTTTCAATTAAGCTCAAATGCAAAGAATGTTCCTTTTCTTCATTCTCAGATTAACAACTGGTTATTTTTTGTGATTCAGGCTAAAAGGCTTTCCTTAAAATGCACATATTCCTTAACCTTTCTAAGGTATATGAAAACAGCATGATTATCAAGCCAACAATACATGAGTCATGGTAGGTAGGGCACTCCGGCATTCTCAGTACTTCGAAAGTGACAGGAGAATACTGAGTTCCAGGCCAACCTAAACTACACAGCAAGACAGTGTCTCAACAGAAAGAAGTCTCATCTTATGCATGTGCCATCAAATGAGTGCATTAAATTACAGTTGCTTTATTAATAAAAACCAAGACATTTCCATATTGGAGCATTACTTCCTTACAGAAAACCACTTACTTATTTTCAGTGTCTGCCACTGGGTGCTCTTCACCTTCAGGTGTTTCCTCAGTCACATTTGATTGATCCAAATCACTGCAATTATAAGATATTTGTTTCTGAATGTATTTGGGAGACTCTCTAAGGAAAGAAAGAAAAAGAAAGGCATCTAGGTCCATTTACATGTATCCAAAAGTCCTTCATACCAAAATAAAGTTTTAATTTTTATGTATTACTAATTTTATTCTATTTCTGATTATTCTCTAGTTGATCTTTAAGAGAAAACAAATTATTCCACACATAAATTTGTTTATACACTTTTAAAACAAAGCTTTATAAGTCAGACACAGTTGTAGAGGCCTATAATTAACTACATAACAAGTTAAGGCTAGCCTTGACTACCCATCTCAAAAAATATTTTTTTTAAAAATCTAAAACCAAAAGAGAGTTTATCAAACTTTGAAAGAACAAGACTACAAGAGGCAGAGTTAGAACTATTAATGCCATGACATTGCCAGCCTCTTCATCACAGGGGCCTCAGGAAAAGCCATACATACCTATTACCAAAACAAAACTATCAATATATTTAAATATAGAAAAACTGCTCGTTTAATATAAAGTTACAGCGCTGAGACAGAACATCCATTCTTGCCTCAGGAACAAAATCTAAGCATTGACAATTCACTAGTAAGTTACAGTTTTGGTTTCATGGGAATTATTTAACTTTATATATCTATATATATATACATATATATATTTATATAAATCAGAATACCAACGTTAATTCATCTTTGACAGTTCCCCAGTTGTGAGATCCGCTACCTCCACGTTTGTCCTCATGCTTCAGGCCACTGTAATGTGAAAAAGAACTAACAAAACTGAGTTAACATTATACTCTTTAGTTCTAGAAATTCAAATTTTGTTTTTATGAAACAAGCACATTAAATCTCAAAATACAACAATCAATATAAGACTTACGATCTATCACTTCCGCTATGCCTATCAAATTCACGTTTGCCACGAGAATCAAATCCATCACCTCGGCCCATTCCACGTCCTCGGCCTCCTCGACCCCTTCCAAGACCACCTCGCCCTCGGATAGGCCGTTCAATAATCGGTCTATAAAGCAAATTTAGTAATTATATATCTCATGTTTACAGAAACAGGAAAAACCCACTCAGAGCTTAAAAATACAGAATATGCTTACTGGCTCATAACCAACTATATATATGGTGTAAAATTTATCTCTACTTATATAAGGGAGATTTAGAGACTGCTTTACTATTCTTTAAAGCTGCTAGGACACACACACTCACTCACTGCATGTCACACTGCTATTGACCAATATACCTAAACCTACACTCATCACATGTAGTTTGCATACGATGAGTGACAGCCACTACCACTGTCCTTTTAAACTCAGTATCTGGACAGAGGAAGGAAAAGTGGCTATTGACTCAAGTAAAATATTTACTCTTAGCTCTAATTTAAAACATGTTATCCAAAAGTTAATAAAATACTGTTGTGTTTAACAACATAGTCACATTTATCTGAAATACACATTAAGTAATCACTCCAATTTATAGCTTTACATTAAGATCTAACTACGAGTGACAAATCAAGAAAACCTTGTTTAAGCTTACCTATCCACTGAAAATTCACCTCCTTCACCCTTTTCTTCAAGTGGCTTTTCAAATCTTCTTTCGCGAGGTGGTCGCCTTTCTGCTCTCCTATCAAGAATTTTCCCATCACCCTGAAGTTGTTGATCAGGTCTTCTTCCAACTCGCCTTATTCCTTTTGACAAATAACCAGCATAAGCAAATCACTTTTACAATACAAAAAGTTTATGCTAGATAACTAACCCTGATGAGCATCACCTAAGTATAACACACTAGGACATCTTATTCAACAACAAACGTCTCAAACTCCATCTACAAGCATTTTGCTTCTCACAGACATCACTGGGCACCATCTCTCCTTACTCTCCAAAAAGCCAGTCTCTTAGTACAGAACTTCAAACTTACAGACGTTTCAATCAAATGACATATTTTCGGCTTTAAAGACATCAAAAGTAATATAGTAGCCATTCATAATTGACCAAGCACTGGATATTCACTAACATGCACCTTAGAAGAATGACTGATTCACAGTATGTTATTCTATGTAATCTGAAGGGAGGCAATAGAACACTTCATTCTATAAAATTGTAATTCTGAAATGAAACAAAAGGCACTTGTAAGTTCTAGGAACAACTCCCTAATTTTAGATAGTTTTCTGAGCTAGACATAGTCCCTATAACACTAACACTAGAAAGACTGGGGCAAGGCAGGCTTGCAAGTTCAAGGCGGATCTAGATTACAAAGAGATCATGTCCCAACTCCACTCCAAACAAGCAAATAGAACTATTTAACCAGGAAAAAAAAAAATCTTCCTCAGACATGAAACATTCAAAGTATGTATGTACATATCTCTATACATATTACTAAATTTAACTTTAAACACTATTATGAAACCATTAAATACTTCATTATTAGTATGGATAGAAAGTCCTTTTCTAGATCTACTCTTTCACATATCTATTATCAAAGCATCTTCACAAATCAGACACAGAAAGGCATTCTTTTAGCAATTATATACTGAGGTTGTGATTATAGCTCATTACCAGGGTGTCAGTATAATACAGGACACACTCTCAAAAAAAAAAAAAAAAAAAAAAAAAGAGAAAACTTATGGCATTAACTGATATTTAAAGCATAAACTAATTCTCCTGCCTTTATTTTGTGTTTCTGATAGCATAGGAAATCCATATAAGTTGAACTATTGGTAGTCTTAATGACAAGTTGATTGTGAAAAGTATGCCTAACATGCTCTAATTACCAAACCACAGGTTTTGACAGGCAAAACAACAGCTGAGAAACTTTTTTGAAATAATATGACTAATTCTAAGAAAATGGAACACCATCAAAATATCTTTAACTATAATCATATACTAAATGTGTAATTCTTTAATAATAAAACTCATTCTCTGTAAAGTCTCAGGACAAGCCCTAAATGTAGACCTTATACCAAGACATTTACATAAATTTCATCAGAAGTATAGTGTATTAGGGTGGAGCTATGGAACCAGCTCAGCCCCTGTAATGATAACCAAGCTAACACACCCAAGGGACAATGGCTTGTTTCTCCACCCAATATTCAATGAGGCCTACATAATCAGAAAAAAACTTATTAAAACTCATCAAGGGATTGGGAGCGTAGCTCAGTGAGAGCGCTTTTGCCTAGTTTGCAAAACACTGGGTTCTACCACTATCACTACAAAAAAGAAAAATAAACTCATCTTATGAAAAATAATATTTACTGAACAAAAACTATGCAAGCTTCTTTTACTGTACTTACCTATACTTGAGTTTGTAACTGCACTAATATCCAGGGTTGGTTTTTCTTTACATAAATCCAAAAACCTACACTTAATGATATTTTGCCAATTCTCAAGTTCCTCAAATAAACAAAAGCTACAAAATTTATGTGAGGAAAACATTCCTTTCCAGCACTGTGTTATGGAGACATAGGACACAGCACATGCTAACAATTATTTCCATTCTTAGAGGTGGGAACTTTGTTTACAAGTCTACCAACCACCCCACAGCACGGACTGGCGTATCTATTCAAAACTTCCCCTAGGCACATATAGCCTTGTTTAAAGCAACCCTGGGGTTGAAGATATGGGAAGCACAGATATTCCCCGGCATGGGCAAGGTCCTGAGTTCACTCCCCAATACCACCACCAAAAAAAAAAAAAAAAAAAAGACTTCCGAAATACTAAGAAAAAATGATGACCACTAATCCACTAATGTAAGTTTTCTGAAGGGCTTTAGTAAATAACAAGCATAAATCCTGGCTACAAATAAAATGTCCTGTATTTATGAGTTACAATACTAGTTTCCAAGGTAAGATCATAGATTGGCTACTCGATGAAAAAAACTGAGTAATTTACTATCAAGCTTCATGCTTTGAACATTTTTAATGAGTGAGTTCACCTAGATGGTCTGTTTTATTCAGATTCAACTTATTCGTGTACTTTCTTGAATTAGAGTCATCAAGGACGTAAACTTTAGCAGTTTAAAATACATCAGCCAGTGTTCCTTAACACAGGATTTAAATTCCTTATCCAACTGTGTATAATGTCAAGAAGCTTGATCAGGGAAGTACTTCTGCCAACTGATGTTTTCTAACATTCCAGACTATGCTGTCCCTTCCAAATCTATTATTAACACAAGAATTCTTCCCTGTTTTTCAATGAACTAGGTACTGGATGCTTTACTCCAAGCTTTAAAAATAAAAAAAGACAACCCCCCCCCCAAAAAAAAACCTTACTTCAAAACCTAGCACAACCCAATGAGAAACAATTCCTTTCGTGAGCACGTGGCAGTAGGAGGCAACTTTAACATCGAATAGCAATTTTAAAGATTTGCAGGTTCTATTCTATTCCTACTTGCTATTGGTTTTGCACTCTCTTAGCCCCTATTTGCTTTGCCTTTTCACCCAAAATAAGGCAGTAATGGAAAAGAATGGTAAAATCAAACAACTCTGAAACTTTCAGTGCCCTGAAGACTACTAACCGCCAATGAAGACTTGACCACGCTTCACGCACGTGCGGAGGAAAAGCTGCAGACTCTACAGAGCTCTGCTGCCTGGCCTTGACAGGCTGGGCACTCATTTCACGAAACACGAGGCCAGGGCAGGAAAAGCCCATGACCTGGGGCTTCACCGAGCTGGGAGAAGGGATCGCGACAAGACAAGGGTTCTGCTAAAGCCCGGTGTTCACTCAGAACCCCCACTCAAACAGTGGGGCCGAATCTCCCTCCTTCCCAACAGTTGAATTCACTCCAGTTAAGTTTCAGGAAGCACAACACAAGAGCGAAAGGACTCAACAAAAAGCACACGTGGGAGCCACACAGCACCTCCCTGCACTCTGACTGCACCCCACACAGACGCAGCTGGAGTGGAAACTCCGAGCCCTTCCTGGAGGTCCCCCGCCATTGTGGGACAAGATGGCAGGCAGGAGCGCAGAGCAGTCGGCAGCACACGGGAGCACCCCGGGCAGGAAGCGGTGCCCGCGCTCGTCCCGGGCGCCGAGAGCCAGGAGGCCAGCGCTCGGCGGAATCGGCGGGAACGCCCGGGACGCCCTCTCGGAGCACGCTCAGTCCGCCCGCGGCGGGAAGGCTCCCGCCGACCTGCAGGCGGCGTGGACTCGGAGCAAGCCACGCTCCGGGCCGGCCCCGTGAGCGCTCGGCGGCCCCGCAGCTGTACCGGGGGCCGGCGGCGCACGCCCCGTCCCGCCCGCCGCCCGGGGTCCTCCCCCGGCTTTACCTTCTTTCTTAAGCGCCACCGGCGGCTGCGTCTCCTCCTTTTTGTCAGCCACGCCGATGCTGGGGGGCAGCGGGTTCTTGCGATCTTTCTGGGACTCTTTACGCAACTGTTTCCCCGCCGCGTTGGAGTTGGTCTGGGCCGCGGCCTGAGCGGCGCTCTTGGCCCCGGGGCCCCCAACGCCGCCCCCGCCGGCTTCTTTTTTCTTGTTCTCTGCTGCCTTCAGTACCTCGAAAGGGTCCGATTCGTCGTCAAATAGCTGGTCGAATCGGTTGGTGACCACGCAGCCGAAGCCTTCCTGTAGGTGCCCAGGCATGATGGTGGCTCGGCGGCGCGTTCCTCCACGGATTGCAGCGGACCGCGCCGAGCCAAAAGCGCCTGCTTCAGCTCTTCCCACAAGATGGCCGGGCCGAGAGAGGGGGGCCGCCTTCTCTTCCGGCGCCAGGCACATATCCGGGAGCGGCCTGCGCCGCACAGCACCATGGGGCATGTAGGCCACAGCCCATTATCCTGGGGCGCCTGTCTACTCCGGGACCACAACTCCCAGCGTGCACCGCTCAGCCACTCTTCGCGCGCGCCTGAGAGGCGGGATCTCAAGGAAAGAGTGCGGCGTGCTAGGCGAAGGTGGGGAAGCGTGTGCTGGGCGGAGTTCTGCCACCTGCTCTTGTCACCCTTAAACTCTCGGTCTTTAGCTACCCCCGAAAATAGGAAAACGTGAGGGCGTCCTCTGTTTACGAAAGTTCCCTGTCTTTGGTTTCAACCACTCCGCCTCCGACCGAGGACTTTCTCCACCTTTCTGGGAGGGTCAAGGTGACTCCCAGACCTAGAGCCTCAAAAACTTCCGGGGGTGGGGGGGTGAGGCGCTGCGCTAGCCGCCCGTAGGTGGTGGCCGCTCAGCAGCACACCCCCAGCTGTCTGGTTTCCACAGCCATCCTCCACCCTTCCTAGCGAATCAAGACCCTTCGGTTTAATGTGGAGCGAAACTCCAGGGTTGCCTCCAGCGAGATGTGAATTTGGATAGCAGAACGAATCCAAGATACGAGTTGAAGTATCTGGGTTGCACGCCTTTTCCGGCCATTGCGACCATGCTTTGAGAGCTGTGAAGCCCTGACCTTCGAAGGCCTCCAAAAGGCAGTGTTTGTGGAAACACTTTCTAGAACCAATCCGACTAATTGATCGCCCGTATCTGGCCACCCTAGGCTTAAGAGACTGCTGTGTTAGTAAAGTGTGTGTACCTTTAATCTCTGCACTCAAGAGGCAGAGGCAGGAGTTCGAGGGTAGCCTGGTACACAGAGAAAGTCCCAGGACAGTAGAGGCTACCCAGAGAAAACCTGTCTCGAATCCCCTCTCCCGAAAAGAAAAATGTGCTCAAGAAGAAATGTTTTATAGTACATTGAATATTATGTGTGAACGGATATTATGTGTTAACTTAAATAACTTAGTAATGGCATGAAAAGACTTAAGTTAGTTGGGAACCGTAACTCCTGTTAAGGCAATCCGTTGCCAATACATAGTATCGTTTTTAAACCGTTTCCACTGTCAGGATCTAATAGAAAACGTATCTTGCAAGTAGCAGGTGCTATGAATGTTTCATCCTCACATCTTTCTAGGTAAATAATTGTTCCTTTTTAACAAGTGATGAGATTATACCAAAAGTAGTATGATTCACAAGTTCACAATTAGGTTAAGTGTGGTGGCAATCTTCCGGCTGCGCTATGAGATTGTTGATATCAGTTCTGTAAACCAATCTCTGTCTTGATAGAAGTTAAGACAAGATTTGAAATTCTGATACCGAACTTAAACAACACGATTGATGGTAATAACAATTTCTGAGCATATTTTAGGTCAACACTTTGAGGAAAGTTGAATACGAAATTATATTTCAGGCATCAGCAACATGCCTTTTGCTTTTCTTTTGTTCTACCGTTGTTAATGCCTCAAAAATCACTTATTTCCTCCACATCCGCACAATCTCACTCTCCCATAGCTGTGGCTCTTCCCCAATACTAAACTACCAGCTCTTAGCCATACTCTTTCCACCCTTTGAAAACAGCCCAGCCAGCAAGCTCCAGGAGTTTTTCGGAAAAGTGGGAGGAAGGATTGAGGGAGTCAGAGGGGTCAAGGACACTACAAGAAGACTTAACAAAGTCAACTAACCTGGCTCATGGGACTCAAAAAGACTGAGCCACCAATCAAAGAGTGCATGGGCCGGGCCTAGACTCCCCCCAACACACACACACACACACACACACACACACACACACACACACACAGCAGATGTGCATTCTGGTCATCATGTGGTCCCCTAACAATAGGAGTCGGGGCTGACTCTGTTTCCTGCCTTTGGATCCCTTTCCCATAGCTGGGCTGGCTTGCCTGGCCTCACTGGGAGAGATTGAGCTTAGTCCTGCTGTGACTTGAGGTGCCAGGGTGGGTTAGTACCCATCAGGGAACCTTCTCTAAGAAAAAGAGGGGGAATGGAGGAGGGGCCCAAGAGGACGGGATTGGGAGGAGAGGGGGGAGAGGCTGGTATCGGCTGTAAAGTGATTAAATAAAAAATAAAAACTTATCAATTCAAAAAAGAAGTGACAAAATACTAAAAATAAAGATATATATATACACATATATATGTATATATACAAGTTAAAAAAAAAAAGAAAATAGCTCAGTCAAGCATGGTAATACATGCCTTTAATGCCAGCACTGAGGCAGAAGGATCTCTGTAAGTTTGAGACCTGCTTGGTCTACAGTGTGAGTCTAGGTCAGCCAGGACTACACAGAGAAACCCTGTCTTGAACAACCCCCCCCAAAACTGAAAAATGAAAATAGCTCAAATACAATTTGCAAAATCATACTTTAACAAAACCTTTCTCTTCACCAAGTATAGTAATTATCTGTAGTTCTGAGGCATCTCCTAAAACTTACCTTTCTTCTGAGCACTGCCACAATAGCAATACTAGTAGCTAAACTGATATTTTACTATGTGTCTAATGCACTTTTCATATGGGATCCCATTTAGTCCTCACTGGCTCTGTGACTAAGTATTAGTTTCATTTTAAGGTGAAGAAACTGAGGACTGGGGATGTATCTCAACGGTAGATCACTAGAATATCACTAGAATTTCAGCCCCCAGAGGAATAGTGGGGAAGGAGAGAAGTGAAGAAAACGAAGCACAGTGAGGTTAAGTTGCTCTTCCATACCTCAGTACAGGAAATGGAAAGGGCATCTGCTTAGTCATATTTCGTTGATAGATCTGTTTCCTCAAATGCATCTTCACATGTACCAAGCATTGTTTATCCTAAGAATATAGATTATGCAAGGAACTGGCAACCTAGAAATGTATAAGAGTGACATACTTTTTTTCAGAGAATTTACCTCTGTAATAACTTCAAAATGTTAGGAATAAACATTTGAGAAAACAGAATCTTTAAAGAAATTATAAATCTAGACTTTGGTTAATCAGAAAAAGTTTAAAGCCCATTTTAAAAGAATACAACTAAAGTCCATGGTGCTAAATCTTTTAAATCTTAATAAAGTGTTGGTCCTTAGAGTAAGTATATAGCTCAGTGACAGACCATTTGTTTAGTATGTAGAAGATGCTAAGTTTGATTCTCAACACCTCACATCCACAGATTATACACACTTACAGACTTTAAAATATTAATATCCTAGGCTGGCAAGATAGCTCAGCGGTTAAGAGCAATGACACTTCCTGAGAACCTGGGTTCAGTTCCCAGCACCCACATTGCAGCTCACAACTGTCTTTAACAACAAGATCTGATCCCCTCACACACACATAAATGCAAGCAAAATACCAGTGCACATAAAATAAGAATAAATAATTTATTTTTCAAAGGATTGCTCAGAAGGGAAAGGTGCCACCGAGACTTTACGCCAATCTGAGTTCTGTCTCCTTGGACCCATGGGATGAAAGGATTCCCACAGGCTGTTCTCTGATCTCCACATACTGTGGGGATCAGAATGTGTGTGTGAATGCTGTGCTGCATTCACACACACACACACACACACACACACACACACAAATAACAGATTAAAATGTTTTTAAAAAGACTTCTAAAAAATGGCTGCTACTATCAGTAAGAATATTGGTAGGATAATTCTCACAGGAAGCACAGAGCTGACTCTCCAATGCTCTTATTCAAATTCAGGCTCTGTAGCATTATTTTGACATTATATTCTCTTAAAAATACTCATGGAACACGACAGTTTGTGGATAGCAAACTTCTCTCAAGAATATTCTATCAGTAAATTTGAAAAATATCCAAGTGCCTTGGCTAAAGATGCAGTGTGTTTGTCTAACACTGTCCTACTAGCAAAGCTCAGAAGCTCTTGCGTTTTTGACGCTAGTGCTGTTTTCAGCCACATTGCAATCTTGCTTTCACGCTTTTCTTGGTGCGTAAACGTGTGCCCATGCCCGCAAGCGTGCACAAGTGGAGGCAGAGGTTGATGCTGGGAGTTTTCCTCATTCGATTCCCCACCTTATTTTTTGAGGTAAGATCTCTCACTGAACCCGGAGCTCACTGATTGCCTAGACTGGCTCTCTAGCAAGCCCTTCTTCCACCTTTTCAGTGGTGGGGTAACAGGTGCACTTAGATGTGGGGACGGGTGATTGAATTCAGGGTCTCCTGCTTCCATGGCAAGCACTTTACTGACAACCAACTCCCTAGCTCTCTTCACACATTTCTTTTGTTCTGCTTTTGCAAGACAGGGTTTCTCAGTGTAGTCTTGGCTGTCCTGGATTCCCTTTGTAGGCTGGCCTCAAACTCACAGAGATCCACCTGTCTCTGCCTCCCCGAGTGCTGAGATTATAGGCGTGTGACAATGCACCTGGCTCATACATTTCTTAATCCTCCCAATCCCCTGTTATGTTGTTACAATTAATAACTAACAGCAGTTATTATTTTATCCTTCGCTGTGTCGTGGACACTGTGCTATGCTATATGCCTCATTTCCTTTAGTTCTCAGACTAACCTGAAATCATATTACTATCTCCACCATTTTTTAATTTTTTATTGGTATGGTTATTATTTTACATGCATTAAGTATTTTGCCCCGCATGTACGTCTGTGTACCACCCGTGTGTGTGGTGCCTTCTGACAGCCCTGGGTCCCCTGCTACTGGAGTTACCTAAGTTTGAGATTCTCCATGTGGTTGCTGTGCATGCACACACGCACACACACACACACACACACACACACACATGCATGCCCCTCCTCTGGAAGAGCAACACGCACTCTTAACCGCAGAGCCATCTCTCCGGCCCTCTATCCCTTCACATTCAGTGAGACTTAGTTTGTTGTTGTTGGGGCTTTGGTTTGGTTTGGTTTTGGGTTTTGTTTTTTTGTTGTTGTTTTTCTTTTGAGGGTTTTTGTTTAATTTTGTTTTTCGAGGCAGGGTTTCTCTGTGTACCTCTGGC